CACATAAATTAGTTCACTGCACCCTACACCGTTCTATCGTCAGTGCGTACTCAGCTCGGCTTGCCCACAATCCATTGCCTTTCTAGATTGGGACGTTATGCTAGACTGATAGGCTAATGTCTCATCATCAAATATCCCAATGACTGCTTGTTTGTTATTATGCAAATATTGAGTGGCTCAGCGTGAAATGGGAGGAATATTATCGCCATGATTATCGCAAGGTAAAATTTGGACTTTTCCATTTCACGAGGCGAAGCCGAGTGAACTGGACAAGTCCAGATTTTACCGAGCGATAATATTCCTCCCATTTCACAATTTTAAGCCACTCAATATTTGTTTTATATAAATGACATATAGATCCTTGTCATTTGATATATTTGAACTTTTATTTCAATACAAAACTGGAGGAAAATGTATTTCTCTCTTCCAAACCACCCCTTCATGAAATTTTTTGAACCCAACGCTGTAGCACTGGCTCTTTGGAACAATACGCGCTACGCGCAACGCTGAACGTGCACACCAGCATGCATTTGCACACAAATACCGCGTCATGATCCTAACTGTTGAATAATATTTTCCATTCCCCATGGGCGGATAGTACTTTTTGAGCCGTGGCGTTAATGGGAGCAATAACGAATGTCACGTGATGTGAGTTCCACCAATCAAATGACAAAGATATGTATGTCGGTTATATAAACAGAAATAGGGGCCTACATTAATATATTTAGATACATTTAGATATTTCAATTAGGTTGACCCTACGTCATAAGTCTTTTAAATTTTTTTTTAACAATCCACGCTCTCGGGCCGGTATCAGGGTGCAGACCTTTATTTCCGCGTACTTCCAAAACAATATTCAAAATATTTACATTTCTCCAAGGTGTTTGAGACACCCGTCAAATGAAAGCTTATTTCTCTTTTGGGAGAAGATTCCATCCAAAGATGATCACCCCTACTAAAAGTGGTACTGTGGCCCATCGCCATTTTGAAAATTGATGCCTGCGCTCCATTGCATAGACCATTAATAGGGGTGGCCCAATTTTATCCGAATCTCAAATTCAAATTCTTATAGCAAGGAATTTGAGGGCATACAAATCGTGATTTGTTCCGCGTAGGCAATATTATTATGGGCCTACTTTACTGGTCTGCACCCTTTTATGTACACTAGAGTTGTTGCTATCCCCCCCCCAAAAAAATACCTCTTGTACGGTAAGATGTAGGATCCATTACTCATGCCTACCATAACTCAACCCCCAAATCACCCCCTTTCGAAATCGCTGTAATTGGGAGATGGCCTATCAGGCCCAATTTGGGAGCGTTTGTTGCGGAACCACGATTGTTGACCCCTTTGAAATGATGGTGCCCCCCAGGTGCCGTCCACTGGAAAAACAACAACAAACAAACAAACAAACACCCCAACAAACACCGCCGCGACATATAAAGCGCATCATGGCGGTATAGGCTAATATACCAGAACTGTTGCTATTTCACTACAAACCACTTGCACGCAAGAGGTAGGATCCATAACTCATATAGGCCTGAATATATGCCCTCTGTATGCGCCTGCCCTGCTATAGGGCGCCCCCACCGGGCGTTAATTGAGTTCTAGCTCCTTCCGACCCCCAATCACCCCGCTTCCCCCCCCCCCCCCCCCCCCCAATTGCTGTAAACGGTTGTAATCGGCTGTTGGCCTATCAGTCCCCTTAAAGTTTGGGAGCATTTGTTGCGGAACCGCCCTTGTTGACCCCTTTGAATTGATGGTGTCCCCAAAGGTCCCGCCCAATGAAAAACCACTGTCGCAGCATATAAAGCGCATGCGTGGCGGCGTCCATCTTGACAATTCTACAGGGTGCAGACCTGTAAATCAACTCCCATAGACCTCAATGATAATAACAAGTACTTCCAGAAATTATTAAAAATACTCACTACTCTCCAAGGTGTTAGAGATACCCCTCAAATTAAAGCTTATTTCGTCATCTTTTGTTTTTTGTTCAAGTTTTGGGTGGTAAATTTGATGACTTTGGGGAAAAAATTCCTTCCAAAGATGATCACCCCTAAAAGTAGTACTGTGGCACATCGCCATTTTGAAAAACGATGCCTACATGATTGTGTTCGGCATATCACTCCTACTAACTCATGGAGAAGAGGGAAATGTTTAACCGTCCAGTGCACAATTTACACCCAGCTCATTTCGCTAGAACGGTTATCACAACTTTATCGAAATCGCCTATTGCATTGTGACTGCATTGTTTGAAAAGCAGTTACATCAGTGAAAAACAATCGAGCTATGTTTCTCGCGGAGAAATGGAAGCAACCATGAAGGGCATGGCCCCGGTTGCCCCCCCCCCCCCCCGATCCGCCCTTGTCCAGCTCATCAGTCATTCCAGCTGTATCTGTATAGTTGCCTACAGTTGCCTACTAAAAATATCAAAATCTTTAATATTTTTTTCGGATACAAGCAAAAAACACAACTCGCTGAGTAAAATAGAAAAAATTGTCATCAAATCAAAAACTACAATTTTTTTATAGCCTAGTTGAAAATCCCTGGAAACAACAGTAAGTCGCTATTTGGAATGGGTAAACTCTTTTGTATTTTCCAAATAAACCCAATCACTCCAAATAGCATTTTTCTAATGTATCTACTTACATCACAAACAAATTAGGCATCACTACCTCCGTCTCCAAAACACTTTGCATCACAAGCTTTCCAAAAGTAAGCCTGTATACACAACAACTGCAATATGTACAGCATTATATCGATATCAACGCAAAGCTTTGTTTTACACTTTTCATTTTCGGAATAAAACAGGAACTTTAATAATGTACGAAATATGCTAATTATAAAGCTTACAGATTACAATTTTCAGAAAAATATCTAGTGATTTTGTACTTGACGTCAGGTGAACGTGAACAATATTTAAACGAACTGGTTGTATCGTTTGAATGCATAAGTATCATAAACGCCATCTTTTATATTTTTAGTATTTCTACTTTCTGATGAGTAAATCTTTGTATCTTATACTAGCAATAAGGTCATTATCATGAAAAAAAAATTAAGAAATTATCCCTTTTTAATCTTTCAATAATATCGTGTTTGATTTTTTTAATCGATAGATTCCCTAATTTTTAGCCATTTCACTTTTAATAACATATGTAATGACTTAAGTCTGTGTATAAAACAAAAACGATGTTCGTATATAATATAATATATAACAAATCATTATGATGCTCATTCAACATTAACCCCAAAACTGAAAAACAAATTGTGAAAGGTCTGCTCTTCAGAGCGTTTGTACAACATGCAAGATTTGGAAAGAACATTTTTTGATTGTATTGTTTGTTAAAAAATTAACCAATCATCCAGTTGTGAGACGATTCGAGCGAAGCTCAAATCCAAACACCAGTTGAAACCATTTGGTGCAGCATTTTTACCAGTGTATTATGGGCTTTGTGTGCCAAAAAAAGAGGCTTTTGTATTGTTTTTGTTTTATTTTAATTTGGAGAGTCATGTGGACGTGCCGGGACACAGAGAGGGGGTGTAGGCCTACTTGTTTGCGCTCCTATAGCGAAGTACATGTACTTATATCTTATCTTATTATATCATTGAGTGGTCGGGCACAACCAGACCAGTGTCTAGAATTGTTCTGATAAATCTTCTTTGTTTGGGCCTTCTTTTTTCCGGACAAGAAGTCTCCGCGTTTTTTCCGTAACTTTCAACATATATCGACCCTCATCCCGAGTGGTGCATATTACTCTAACGTCACGATGACGTCATCGGGTATCAAATTACAGGCGATTTTTGTTCAAAATATGACATTTCCGTCATTAATAACTCATGAATAAAACGAACGATAACGTTCATACTTTTCAATCTGATGGACCATATCTTGATAAACATTTTTGATATATATATCTTGATAAACATTAAAAAGTCCAAGTCGTTTGACCTTTTCTTCCGGGGCAACCGGAAGGTCAAAGTTCGATGAATTCAAAATATAGAAATAAGCCTAAAATAAAAAAGAAAACAAGATATCTTTAAAACAGTTGATGTGGTGCTACTAAAACCTAATATAAACTTTGAACCCAATACGAAGGTGTTATGCTGTAACGTCATCATGACGTCATTGGGTATCAAATAACAAGTGATCTCAGGGCAAAATTTAACAACATAGTTTTAGCTACATTTTTTGAACTCAATAGAATATCGTTTTCATTATTTCGTGAGGTTGTAGACTATGGAGAAACATCTCTTGTTCCCGGACACAAAACCGCTTGACCTTTTCTTCCGGTGTTACCGGAAGTGCAATAAAACTGAATATAACTCGAAAGCGGAATCATTTTATACAGACTTATAAATTATGATTGTGTTTTGTGCGGAATCCCAAGCACCAAAACAACAGTGTAATGACGTCATCATCCGAAGAGCGCCCCCAGCGGCACATGGAATACCGTATGTATTTTTATCTTAAACTATCCGCTCAAATTTACCAAATCGCCACTTTATATTCTTTGATTAACTACAGAACTTTGCAAGGTTTCAAAATCATGACGTCATCGGACCGGAAGTTACTTTAGGGAGAATTTGAAAACGATAATATATACTGTACATTCACTTTAGTTACCTATTTTAAATGATTTCAACTTCCAATGAACATTAATTCTCTATGAACAAAATCGGAATTCACTTCCCCCCCTTTTTTTTTTTACTGATGACGTCATCCAACCAGAAATAACTTGTACGTGTACATAAATTGTATACTGAAGTTTATCACACCGTTAAAAGTGTACTTTTTAAACAAAATAACTTGTGATTGTACTGAAAAGGATAAGTTTCGAGGTCATTTGTTCTGACAATGTTTAATGGAAAAGAAAACTAGCTTTCAACGATTTTCGTCCCTGGCTAGGTTTTACTTTATAAATAAAATTACAGTTGACGTAATAAATTGTTAGAACGCCCTCTATAGCGGCAGGTAGAAAATGTTTAAACATTTTCAATTGATTATTGTTGTAAAGTTTATGAGAGTGAAATATATGCCAGTCCGACCACTCTGCGTTTGTAACTAAACACACGCGAACCTCTAGTTTATGTATGTTTCATTGTCTATTCCATCCTCCGGACTACTATTGATGTGGGGGGCTCGGGGGCCAGTCTCCCTTTTTTTCGCCTGACGTCTTCTGCGGCGTACAAACACGGCGATGATCACCACCAGGATTAGGATGACAGCGCCACCGAGCGAGCAGCCAATGACCAGCCCTAAGGAGACTCCCGACGGTTGTACTGCCGACGGTTGTACTGCCGACGGTGACACTGCCGACGGTGAAACCGTCGACGGTGGTACTGGCCGTCTCTCACGGGCTGATGAGGTGACAACGTTAGATGGCTCACCCCGGTTTCCATCATCGTCTATGGCCACAACGGCGAAGGCGTAGCTGAACGTACCTGCAGCGGCCAAAAAGATACATCAACGGCATGAGTATTGTTAATGAAAACTGTTCATGGCGTATCCATGCAGGGAGGGGGGTATTTATTAGATATGTCAGGCCTGTTTTCGTCAGGGATAGCAAGGAATTTGAGATTCAATATTACTTTTCCAACCCAGTTTATAACTTCACTCACTTGAATCATAAACTTTACTCAAAGTAGTTAGGTCTGTGTTGTATCGTAGTATTAGTAATAAATGAATGAACGCAAAGAACGAAACAAGAATACCGGCCGATAGGTGTTACAAAACTCAACAAATTTTATTTTCTCACGTGGCCCTTTATATAGGGGCAAGCCAGATCCTGTGCGCAAGGATATTAAATAAAGTAGTCCCACAATTTACATATAAATAGATATTACATTTCCCCGTCACGTCAAAAAGAAAAGGTGCGCACAAATCATTTAACTGTTTAAAATAAAAGTCCTGTATTATAAACTTATTTCCAATTTTGTTGTTTTAAAGTTTGATCATAATAAATGATTTAAATTGTTTTCAAAATATTCCTTACATTATACTTAACCCAAAACCAAATTACGTTTTATGCAATATATTGAAAAGTATCTGGGTAGTTTTACAACTGTGCCATTGTAACACTTGATTGAGTTATATGTCATAAAAACTAAACTTCATGCATTCAAATCTTTGAAGTGACTTATAGATATTAAATAACTAAATACAAAACTACTTAATACATCAGATAATCCTTGGTCCATTTTGGCTTTTGCTTCACTCTTTCACTGCATCTTAACTGTTTGTGTGGTGTGGTAGGTCCTGTGTTATTTGTCTGAACAACCGGGTGATCATTTTCTTCCAACTCAAAGTGAAGAGAGGGATCATAGTGATCCGTTTGTCTAGCCCTGATGAGTTTGCTTACGTTCCATCTTCTGTTATCACTAGTAACATAGGTATATGGACTGATTTTCTTGATAATCTGGATTGGATCAGAATATTTCCTGTCACCTTTTACTACAAATCCTGGTTTCTTCACTCTAACCAAGTCTCCAATTTGGAACTTAACGATTTTGACATTTTTCTTTTTGTCTCCATACTGTTTGTACTTGAACTGTTTTTCCAGTACTCTTCCACGGACCTTTGTTTGGACATCATCTAATTTTGGAACCAGCATTCTCAAACCCAAGATATTTAATTTTGTTCGCATATGCCTACCATGTATAAGAACACTAGGAGCAACACCTGTTGTGGCATGTGGTGTAGCCCTATAAACAGTTAAGTATTCATACACTGTAGATTTCCATGGCTTGTTTTTGTTCACAGCATTTTGGATAGCGTTTTTCAAAACCCCATTGAACCTTTCAACTGCTCCATTGCTTTGTGGATAATACAACGATGTATAGCAATGCCTTATGCCTCTTTCATCTAGAAAGTTGTTAAATTCAGCAGAGGTAAATTGTACACCATTATCACTGATTATTTCATCTGGGTAACCCTCTCTACTGAAAACTGTCTTCAGAAATGTAGTCACAGATTTAGTTGTTACATTCGATGTAAAACACACTTCTGGCCATTTGCTATAATAATCTACAAGTGTTATAGCGTATTTACATTCTATTGGTCCCTTTTGAAATGGCCCTACGATATCTATTCCAAGTTTACTCCATGCACTCTCAGGGTAGGGAATTGGTTTCATTGGGGCGGCTGTTTGTTTTACACTCTTGTCATTGAATTGACACGTTACACAGGATTTAACAATGTGTTCAACTTGTGTATCCATACCTGGCCACCAATACAATTCTCGCAACCGTTGTTTAGTGCGTGTCATACCCTGATGAGATTCATGAGCTAATTTGAGCATTAAACCCCTTAATTCCTTAGGAACTACAATTCTGTCATTTCTCATGACAACATCATCGCATACTGTTAATTCATCTTTGATAGTGAAGTTCAGGATTCATATTACGTAACTTGTTAGGCCAACCAGCATGAATGTATTTTCTAACTTCTCTCAATACTTCATCTTCTTTTGTACAGTTTTGTAATTTCTGAATGGAAACACATTTACACATATTTTCAAGTGCAATTTGACAAATAACTGTGTCATCCGAGTCAAAGTCTTGTGGCTCAGCAGGAACTGGTAGTCTTGATAGTGCGTCTGCTACTTTGTTTTCTTGACCTCTTTTGAACTTAAGATCATAATTATACTTCATCAATCTTGCGGACCAACGTGCAATGCGCATTGATTGGCGATCTGAACCTTTTTTCAGCAAGGTAACCAGAGCTTGATGGTCAGTAACCATTGTGAATTTTCGACCCCAAAGGTGAATATGGAATTTTTCACATGCCCAGACGCAAGCTAATGCTTCTCGTTCTCCAACAGAGTAATTTCTTTCAGCGCTCGACAATGTGCGGCTTGCACATTCAATTGTGACTTCCTGACCGTTTTTCACTTGAGTGAGTACCGCGCCTAATCCATACGCTGATGCGTCTGTTGTAAGAGTAACATCTAGATCAGGATCATACATCGCGAGTATTGGACTACCTGTGATTTGGCTTTTCAACTCATCCATGCTTCGCTGTGCTTCTTTAGACCAAACAAATTTTTGATCGTTTCTTAGCAACGCTCTTAAGGGCTCCACTACCGTGGCAAACTGAGGAATGTACTTTGAAAAATACCCAGCTAAGCCTAGGAACGATCTCAGACTTTTCGTGTCATGAGGTACTGAGGCATTAGTGATTCCATAGTACTTATCATCAACTTGAATTCCTGTTGCGCTTACAGTGTGACCCAGAAACTTTAAGCTAGCCTTTGAGAACAAACACTTGTCCTTATTCAGCTTGACACCATACTTCTCTAATCTCTCAAGAACTGCTTGTAAATTTGCATCGTGTTCAGCTTGATCTTTACCGTAGATGATTAAATCATCCAAGTAACTCTGTACACCTTTTAAGCCACTTAACATAGTGCTCATCATTTTCTGAAATGCTGATGGTGCTGATGATAATCCAAAACACACTCTTTTATACTGAAATAAACCGTCATGTGTGATGAATGCAGTCAAGCTTCTAGAATCCTTATGCAAAAGGAGTTGATGGTAAGCTGATTGTAAGTCTAATTGACTAAATACAGATGCGTTTCTCAACTCACTAAGTATTTCATCAATTTTTGGAAGTGGGTATTTATCAGGTATTATTGCTTCATTTACCTTTCGTAAATCAACACAGAGTCGTAATTTACCACTTTTCTTCCATGAAACTACAATTGGTGAAACCCATTCAGCCGAATCAATTTTCTCAATGATACCTTGTTTCTTAAGTTTTTTCAACTCTTCTGAAACTTTGTCTCTAACACTAAACGGTAATCTACGTAGTTTTTGACTTACTGGTTGTACTTTCTCATTAACCTTGATTTTGTGGACAAATCCAGACACTGGCTGTAATTCATCCTGACCATTGAACAGCTTCTCAAATTTGTGTACATTTTCAGGTAAATTTACACTAGTTTCTTCACCTAAGTCTACGGTGCTACATGACAAAGTGGAACCATCAATATTAATATGCAAGGCTTTCACAAGATCTCTGCCTAAGATGTCAGTACCTGATTCAACAACATATAAGTTCGTAACAAAAGTAGTGTCCTTGTATGAAAATGTACATTCAAAATACCCAAGAATCTTGATCGTATGTTGCGTAAATGACAACAGTTTCTGTTCAGGGGGAGGTTTCTGTAACGCCTCCGGTAGAAAGTACTTGTCGAACGTGTTCTTTGTCAGGATACTCACACCCGAACCAGTGTCGACCATAAGCGGCACTTGTACTCCGTTGATGTCGACGTTGCAGACTACTGAATCAGTTTTGTTACCCGGCATGTCGGTCGCTAACACATGGATGTCTTCATCACTAGATTCTGCTGATGAACAGGAATCGTCTCGGACTTGAAATACTCCAGTCTTTTTCTGACGACGTCGAGTAGAACTTGCATGTGCTCGTGTGTCCGTTCCTCCTTGTTTTTGTCTGCATACCTTGCCAAAGTGTCCCACTTTGTGACATACGTTGCATTCCCTTTCTCTTGCTGGACACGCCCTGTCGTTCGCTAGGTGTGCTTGAGAACCGCAGCGGTAGCAAAAAGTTCGTTTACTGGACACGTCTGGTTGAACACGGGAATTTGGAGGTTTGGACTTCGTGGAATGGCTGTGGAATTTGCTGACTTTGTTGACCCGGTCTGCTTGACCATTCGTCTCTGTAAGATTTTTGGCCTCTTGCATTGCTTTTTCAAAGCGTCGCGCCATGTCCACGGCTTTTTGTAGGGTGAGTTCCTTTTCCATGAGTAACCTCTCGCGGATTTTTGGGCTGTTCGTTTTTTCAACTACTTGATCTCTTATCAATTCGTCTGTCATTGCCCCGAAATCACACGTTTTCGAAAGTTCTCGAAGAGCACAAAGAAAATTATCTATGGATTCACCTGAACGTTGTGCTCGTTGTCTGAAATTGTACCTTTCAGCTACCACATTTACCGCTGGCTGGAAATGTTCTTGAAGAACTTGAACCGCATGCATGTAGTCATTCGTACCTGGTGGTGGGCTTTCTGTACTCCGGGGAAGGGTTGTGAAGACTCTCTGTGCCTCCACACCGAGACAGTGAAGTAGGATTGCTTTCTTTCTCTTCGGTGAAAACTCATCACCACCTATCGCAAGTAGGTAATTTTCAAAATTTGAAACCCACTGTTTCCAAATTACCGCCGGTTCTCCCGCTTCTTGTAGGAATGGGGAGGGTTGAGTTAGGGAGTTCGCAGTCGCCATGGGTGTGGTCGTCAATCCTCGTCGCCAAATGTTGTATCGTAGTAGTAGTAATAAATGAATGAACGCAAAGAACGAAACAAGAATACCGGCCGATAGGTGTTACAAAACTCAACAAATTTAATTTTCTCACGTGGCCCTTTATATAGGGGCAAGCCAGATCCTGTGCGCAAGGATATTAAATAAAGTAGTCCCACAATTTACATATAAATAGATATTACAGTCTGCGCCAACAAACATTCAGTCTGCATTATGGGAACATATGGGCTTTCAATTTGGTCAAAATCAAGAGACTACAAACAAGTCATGATGCCATTCTTAACTGTTACATAATGTTTTTTTACATTTTATCATTTATCTCTTTAAACTTTTTTTCTTGAAACACCAACCCACTCACCCGGCCAACCACGTGTCTTAATTTTCAGGGCACTCTTTAACTCCCAGACCAAATTCAAATCCGAGTACTAGTCATATTGATGACACTGTTTGATCAAAACGACGATTTTGCGTCAAAAAGACACATTTTTCTGAGTCAAAATGTGACCTTCCCCGGTCCGATGAGCACGGAAATGTAGAGACGCGTCGTTTGGACCAGGAAAAGGGTCTGATCTATTCTGATCCGGATTTCGGGTCGAATTTTAAACTAAACTGTTTTGCCGCATTAAGTATAAATTACAAAGTGTAAAGTATAAAGTATAAAGTATAAAGTATAAGAGAGTATACATATTAAGTGTAAAGTATAAAGCCCAACGCCTTAAATATCGGAATGTTGAAAATCTCTGAATCCAGGCAAAAACTAATTTTATCTACAGTAATACAGTTCATAAAATGAATGTCCCTTTCATAAACTGAGTTAGACTCCTTTTGCTTTATAGTTTGTCGATGTAAATGTTTTATAGTATATACGCTTGTTTTTCAGAGTTGGAGGTCCAAAACCGTCCATAGACAGAAAGTTGACCAGAGTAGATTGTTCCTTACCGGTCTCTGTCACTCGAACCACGAAGACCTCTATTTCGCCGGCATCCTTCGTCTCCGTGATGTTACCTTCCACAAAGCTATCCAACGGTACCTCTGGCACACCGTCAAAGTTGTCGTAAATATCGGATACGTTTCGTGACATCACGATGACGTAATACGAGACTGCCAAGACAAAAATCATAGGAACCTCTTAAAATATTGTGTCCTTGCTCTTCAAAACAAAATCTCTCTCTTAACGAAGTTTCATGGTTAATTAAAACATTTTGTTTTCTTCATATTATCGATACTGTGCGGGAACCAGTCGACATGTATGTGTGAAGGGAATCATTGCTAAGCTGCAAATAATTCGAAATTTGTAAAGAAATTACATTCTAATTTAAAAATGAGTAACCTTTGTTTTAATTTGCTAAAAAAAAAAAATCGAAAAAAAAAACACAAACAACCCTCAAACACCTAAACTCCTGCTTACAAATGTAGATTACACCACTGGACCACTGAGCATGCTAGACTCTTCCAATTCACATAAATGAATACAAACAAAAGTATCACGTAAAAGTTGGCAATGGTTAAAGAATAACCTAACAGGATACATTTATCGCTGCATGTATTTCCAATTGATGTACATTAATGTATAACTAAGCAGCACGAATGGATTATTACAAATACCTTTGCCCGTGGACAGATCGTCTCCCGGTGCGGTGAAAGTCAGCTTAATCTGTTTGGTGTTAGGATCAACATTGGTCGCCATCAAGTCAGTTATACGGGCTGGGGGATACATGTCAATGCTTCCTGTAAAACAGCATATGATAACGAGTTTCAATGGGTGAAAGTGTCCAGTACTCGCTGATATAGATACATGTACAATTATGTTCACAAAAAGTTACTGTATCCAACATCAGTATCTCTATTCATTGCTTTGAGGTCTTCAGGGCATCTGTTTCATTCACTAGTTTTCACACCGAGTAAAATATTTTAAAACGGCGTCTGTTTCTCTTCCTTTTTAGATACATCACGTAGAGTGACATCTATTGATTTTTTTTAGTTCATGATTAAAAAAAGGCAAGTTACACAAAAGCCTTCTGGTGACAGGTGAGTCATTTTGTTCGGTTGGGTTACATATTTCATGAAGTGAATTTGCTAAAAGGTTACCCTGCTCTGGAACGCTGTACAACTTAATTGATCCACAACTGCAGTGGAGGCCTCGATTCTTATCAATTTATGCACACTTTTCAACAATCATATACGCTTTTAAATACAGTGAAGTGTCTTGTTCAAGGACAAACAGTCATGTTATAAATTTTCTTGACTTAATCTGATTCATATGAACAGGTTCAAGTTTACTTGGCACTGTCGAGTGTTCTCTCAAGAACTTTGGAAATAAGTGCTGTCTGAATTAGTTTCTTCTGCTCGGTATCATGTACTAACAAATGTAAGGTTATATAGACACGTTTATCACAACCCAAAGGGAACCAAAATAAGCCAAACATTTTTCAAAGAATAAAACGATCATAAATTGTGAAAGTTCTCACGGCTGCAATTGTTCGATTCCTCACATTTGAAGCTGCCACCGATGCTGACGCGCCTGAATTCGCCCGTGCTTCGGAGCTCCGGCTCGGGCGGATACTGGGAGTCATCCCCGGTAGATTCTGGGTTGATCGCGGCGCCTAAACCAATTATGCTACCGAATGCCACAGAGGTCGCCTGACCGTCGTTGATGACCTCAATCTAGAATCCATGAAAACAGGGCTGGTTAGACTTCAGACCCGGCGTCAATTAATGAACAGATAAAGAAAAAAACAATGTGTTCTAACTCAATCGGAGACAGTGTTAACCTTACACATTATTTCACGGGCTGGATGTGCTAAGGGTTGCGTGCATGGACTTTGAGATTCCTATTATTATATTACTAATTTATGCGAAATTGGCATGTGCCAAATCATACTCGGCAAAAGTTACATAAGTTATGATAATGCTTTAAACTTCTGCAACCTCGACACATCACTTCAGTAAAAACGACAGAAAATTCGTAGAAATTTTGCCCCGTCAAATGAAATGTGTCCAAAGATTAGTTACCACCTCAAAGAAAAAAAACTCTTTTAATTTAAGATATACTCAGAAGTACGATCATTGCAAGTGTCGCACAAAACGGTTCGCTGACAGCACACTCCCGCAACTTTTAACCAAGCTTAGACTGAATTTCAATATATACTTATTAATAGATAATTATATTCGGGCGACCGCTCCAATGCATAGACATGTGTACACAATTTTAAAAACTTTAATGTGACCTAACCCAATTTTACCTTATCCGACCCAAATTTTTTTTTTTTTTTTTAACGTTTTGGACCAAGAGCACACGCAGAAGCCATTTTGCGCTATCTAGTATTGTGGCTATCTAGTACTTTTGTGTTATGACGACCGGCAAAATGTCGCCATAAAGACGGTGGCCGCCCTAATGCCACAAAAGTAAGCACAACCCGTCACCGTATGAGATTATAAGTGTATATATATATTTTAAGGTTGAGTTCTTTTTATACTTGATCATATTTTATTTTAAATAGTATATATTTTCAAAGATCGAATGTTCACATGTGTAATTCAGTTGTTGTTTTTTAACGCAAGACATGTTTATTACTTTGTAATATTATTATTGCATGAAGCTTTAATCCGAAATTCCAGAATCTTAGATGCCTGTGTGGTGGGAAATCTTTGCAAATGTACTGGTGACAGAGGCGTCAACCATAGCTGAGATTTTCTGCCAATGCCTTCTACTTGTAGCATTGTTGGTACTTTCAAGAAATATACAGCTTTAATTGCAAGAATATCACTGCAAAACTTGAAATTGCTTTGTGAAAAATATACTATTGTTCCGTTCACATTTTTTTTTACTGGATAGTAAAAATGCATTTCTCACATTGACACTGTATCTACCCTTGCCACAGAACTCGGTGAAATACGACGAGTACACGCCATCATCCTTCGTGATGTCAGCACCTATCCCATCATCCTTAGGGTGCAGAGTCATTGTCTCTTTTCCGTTTCCGCAGGGGAGGTCAACAACAGCTCTGACGTCGGCGTCAACAACTGGTGTATATCCTGAATAATACAATGCAAGTATGCAAGGATTCATTAAAAAGTGAAAGTTATATAGCCGGTTCTGTAGGGTTAAGGAACATTATAAAGTGACTTTTTCATTTATTTATTTATTTATTTATTTGAGACTGTTTCGGACTCGTTGAATGTTTAACCAGTTAATTTTGTGTGCAACAATCACATCAACCGAGTCCCTCTACATTACCTCAACCGATGACTAAAGTCCAACGGGCTGAAGAAATGTAAAGTTTGTTAATAAAACAGTCGGTTCCACTGCAGGAGACCGTGTCCAGTCTTTAATCAAACTACAATATTGACATTCATGTTGTTTCGCAAGCCCTGGCTGATGAATTATCTTTAACGTTTTAAACGTTTTTACATACAAGGCCGGGTGATAACTTGCGATGGCTTGCGATGACTTGCGATGACTTGTGCACAAGTCATTACTGATGACTTGTGACAAGTTTTCAGAAATTATCACAATAAAGTGTGATTATTTTTGACAACTTGTGATGACTTGTGACAAAACTTGATTACAGCTGTGCGATTTTACCTTGCCCCACGGACACGTAGAGGGCTTGTATTTGTGGTGGAACGACAGTCCCGTGCCCCCAGTCTGACTCGATTAGGATGGGCTCCTGGTTCTCCCGGGCGTGACTCTGGACCAACACGGTCACCTTCTCCACACCTTGAGGATTGTTGCTGACCTCAAAGTGCCATCGGCCGACCTGAAGTTTAATAGTGACTATTACAAGATCAGAGCATTACTCATGATAGTTATGAGTATACCCCCATCACACCAAGCTAGTTCTCACTACGTTCTGGAAAATGTCGCCAAAACGGGCTCAAACTGTGTGCGAACGGAGTAAACGTAGTAGCAACTGTTTACGACCTGTTTAAGAACTTCATGGACGGGCTCGGACTGGCTTGGACGGGAAGGGTGCTCTAGAACTTGAGCCTGTTCAAAATTCTCCCCGTCCTGAAATTAGACGGCGTGACAACGTACTTAAAACGAGACGGACGTACTACGAACTGGGTTGCCGTACTTCGATCCTACTAGGGACGTGTTACAACGTGACGTGGTCATGGTGGTCGAGCATCAATTAGCAGTACGACCGAGTCAGTTTGTAGATCGACCGGATCCGTTGGCAAACAGTCACAACTCGACCGCACTACATCCTTAGTACATTCAAAACAAATTCACACGTTTTGAATGAGTTGGCAACACGTTTCTACATGTTTCTATATGTTCCTAGTAGTTCCCAGTAAGTTTTACTCGTTTTGAATACGTTTCTGTCGTTCATCACCCAGTTCTTACTACCTCCACCCCGTCTGCAGTACGTTCGGACAAGATAGGGTATAAATACAGGATATTTCCTCACTGGTTCATCATTTGGCTCGAGATCTCTTGCAGTGCACATCTGTTATTGACTTCCAGATTTTCCAAGGAAATTTTTGAACAGAACCATGGATAAATTTGCAGCTTTTAACCTGTTGAATGTTGGTTTCATGCAGCTTCTGTTGGAAGCAGAGCAAGAGTACAATGAGATGGTAGAGCAAGGAAGAAGAAGGAGAAAGGCAAGAACCTACTGGGTGAGGAACTGGCTGAAACCTGAGAGGAGAATAGCCGTGGGACATTATCATCAGTTAATGGAGGAGCTCGATCCGCTTGGATGATCAAGAGTCCTTCTACAATTTCTTGAAAATCACCCCACCCATGTTTGACGAACTTCTTGAACTCATCACCCCCTTCATTCAAAAACAAGAATCCAATTACAGGAGGGCTCAGGAACCGGGGATGAAGCTTGCCATCACACTGCGTCATCTGGCAGCAGGATATTTCTATGCAACCCTGCAATATGATTTCCGGGTAGCAAGAAACACAATTATGCTTGTTGGTGAAAGAAGTCTGTCATGCCGTGGTGATGGAGCTCAAGAATGATGTCATCACCTGCCCTGTTGACAGAGACACTTGGAAAGAAGTTGCTGAGGAGTTCATGATGCGCTGGAATGTCACACACGCCTGCGGTGCCCTGGATGGGAAACATATTGCCATCAGAAAGCCTCCTAAGACTGGAATCACGTATCACAACTACAAAGGCTTCTGAATACTCTTAATGGCTCTGGTAGATGCGGATTACACATTTATGTGGATAGATGTTGGTGGTTTGGGAAGCCAGTCTGATGCCCAGATCTACAACAAGTCAGAACTAAAAGAATGCTGAGAAGATGGCTCCATTGAACTCCCTCCACCTTCACCCTTGCCAAATGATGTCCAGGATTTTCCCTATTTCATGCTGGGAGATGACGCTTTTGGCCTTCGCCCGTACCTCTTGAAGCCATACTCAGGCCTTCACCTGACAAGAGAAGAAATGATTGCCAACTACAGGATCTCTAGAGCCAGGTGTGTGGTCGAAAATGCCTTTAGCATTATGGCCCAGCGATGGAAAGTCCTCTTGTCAACAATGCAACAGATGCCAGTGAATGTACAGATCATAGTTGAAACTTGTGTGTGCCTTCACAACTTTATCCGTCTCCGAAACCCAGCCATTCAGAACATTCAACTAAGTGCTGAAGATGGTGAACACAACCTCATCCCTGGTGCTTGGAGACAAGATGCCAACCTGCCAGACTTGGACGTTCCACAGGGAGGAAACCGGGACACAGTTTTGGCCAAGAGACAAAGGGATTATTTAAGAGATTACTTCAACAGCCCAGCAGGACGTGTGCCATGGCAGGGCAGGATAATTGATGGATGAGTGCCATAAAGAGGATGATGAAAGAACAATGCTTGATGTTTTATTTTAGGTAAAGACTGTTTATAATTTTTTATTTTTATTTAGTTAAACTGCTATTTGAAATAAATAGGCAAGGAAAATGATGATTATGTTATTTAATATAGAGGCCAAATGAGTCACTATTACTTCACATGTGAATGGATCCACAAAAATGGGCATTTTCCTATATTCTATAGAGGGAAATCAAGTTTATTCCAATTTAATCAAAGTAGAAAATAGTCTGATAATCATGTTGATATGTAACTTTGTATTTGAAAAGAATAAAACAAGAATAAATCAAGGTCAATATATATTTATTGTATTACATGTCTCTTAAGTAATACATACAAAATGTTTGACATATAACATATTCACATATTTGAGCTACTTATCATGCTCATGATTCTTTTGATGCAACCCACAAGGCATTGACCACTTTTGTTTTTAGCAAGTTCATGTCATAGAAGCTTAAAAACATTTTTTCACGTAAATTACATTTGAATAAAATAATATTTTATGGCAGTTTTATGCACAAAAAAAGGATTTTTGGGGACATTTTAGTGTTATAGAGGGCTTCATTGGCCTTGAGCCATTCTACCATGGCTTCTTCTTGCTCAGGGATGAGTATGAGATGGGTGTAAGTTCTGGTTTTCTTCAGGGACTTCTGCTGCAGCTCTCCACCATCTACTGAGGCAGAGTGTGGAAATCTACAGGGTCCAGAGACAGGCTCAGGAGGCTCAACTTGGGCCTTTTCTGACTGGCCTTCAGAGGAGCTGGGGCTTGAGGATCTTTGGGTAGAACAAAACTAATGGCTGCTTTCCTACGGCCAGTCTTTCTGTCACTTTTTTGGCGGCATAATGAAACACATGAGGCAACTGAATGTCTTGATCTTCACATCTTGAAGCGTCGAACGGGAATGAGGAATGGGAAGAACGCGCCGGGTTTTTATAGCCCTCGAGCCAGGACGGGATTGTACACGCACTAGGAGCGCGTTCGAACGGACAAAGAACGAGATTAGGACGAGTTGAACTGTCTCTGAACGGGGTGGTCGGGTTATAAACTAGTTGGAACCAGGTAGAACTAGTTAAGAACGGATTTAAACTGACTATGGACGGGCTTGGACCGCTTGGAAGCGGCAAATTTACCCGATCAGAATTTGATATGAACTGACTGTGGACGGGGCACAGACGAGATGGACGTTTTGAGGACTGTTCATGAACGAACTGGGGTCGTATTATAGACATCATCGGGCCAAACTACCCCGACCACAACCTATTTTATGATTATTCTAGGACCGGGGGGGGGGGGGGATTTTAAGAACGTAGTGAGAACTAGTTTGGTGTGATGGGGGCCTTACCCGTAGGTTTGGAATTCCATCTTTCGCTAGGACTATTGTGTACTTGATTTTAATCCCTCATCGTGGAGGCTCTACCGCACACGTGGAGGCTCTATCGGAGATGAAACGAACTTTATTCTATACACCAACGTTATGTGATATGGGCGAATTTCAAATTGGAGGCACTCGGTCCGAAGCCACTGTATGGCAATGAGGAGTTTTCTTTTTAAATCTTCCCAACAAACGACAACACTGAGGCCCTACTGTTTCAGTGCCAATTTGAAATTTGTCTATGATGGGGAGGCGAAGGGTGCTGAACATTATTTGGCACAGGGCCCTAAGGGGGCGCTGTTCATTGCAGACGGGACTCGACACCATCCATATTTGGGCAAGTTCGCGCAACGACTATAGTTGACCAATGGTTAACCATAGTTCGACTAACGCTTGCCCGAACTTTGTCTAGTCGACGGTGGTTGACTACGCTAGTCGACTATTTGGAACCAGCCTACTGGGGCTGGTTGCATCGCTGGTAACCATAGCCGCGCGCATTCAAAAAGTACAGCAGGGAGCCAGGATCCAGACGTTTTGCAATGACATTTTGACCAGCGATCGACTAGAGACGTTCACACGTTGCTATTAGTGCGTAGGCGTAAGGTACGTCACAAATCAACCACTAGTCGACTAATGGGCCTTGCCCGAACTTGGCCTTTGCTGACGGTGCCACGATTTTGCCAACTAACAAGTCTTCTGGAATTTTTGCTCTCCCTTCCAGTGGCGTCGGTGTCTATATGGTCAAACTACACGGTTTCCCTATCATAGTTCACAGCATTTTGGGAAGTACTTTGACCACATACCTGTGCATCACCCGGGATAGCGATGCGGATTCGCTGGAAAGCAGAATTTGCGTCATACTCGGGCGAGCCCTCCGTTATCAGGGTCGTATTTGGGCCCGTCATACGCACTGCTATGCTGCCTGGTTGGCTGTGCCCGAATACGAATTGGGTATCACGACCGATCGAGGGGTCTATGTAGACGGCGCCGGTGAAATTTTGACCCTCTGGAATTTGGATGAACTCTGAATACAAGGTGATCGGCACTGATGTAACGGCTAAAAAGAAATTAAATGTGTTTAGTAAGAAATTAAATACTTTTCCTTTATGTTTTTTCTTTCGGAATTCATTTCGAACCGCCGCTTGTGCGATTGCTGTTCTTTAACATTTACTTAATTTGTTGTTTATATGTTTTTCAGATTCAAATTAGATCTTACTCTGTTAAACATGTGTCTAAGGGATCAAAGAATGCAGCACTGACACTACGGGGATAACAAAAGTCACTGACAAAATTATCACTTTACTACCGTAAAACTTTTTGTCCTTACAATTTTCCGTTGTAGATGATTTGCTAAAAACATCACTGAGTGAGCTTGATTCCTCCTCGAGTGAGTAGGCCGTGCCACCAGTGGAGGTCGATAACATCTCAAGGTGTTGTGAAGCCTGTGAACCAAGGGCAATTGTGTCTATAGTTGCGCCTAGACCATTCACCTGAAAACGAAAATTACAAAGAAGTCATCGATGGGAGAAGAAAAGATGTATTAAATGAAAAAAAGATGAATCTCTGTTGCGAGCTGTAGCTGCATAACTCATCATAGAAATGCTTGACAATGTAGAAGTGATATCGATACAAAAACGTGTATGTACTTCCGGCCTGTGAACAGCAAAGGATGGAAACAGAATTACAAGGGCGGATCCAAAACACAGTTGGGGGGGGGGCCAAAAAAACCCATTTTGGTTCCTCAAAAAGTGGGTCAAAAAAATTACGGCGTTGGGTTCGCGGCCCTGAAAAATTTGGATTCTAGATGCTCTGTGGTGCGATCTGAGGCAATTTCTGACCACTTTAACCAATGTTTTTTGAGGAAAAGATGGTGGCGTACTCATTGCCTGCCTTTATTGCGACGTCACATAAAAAAAAAATTGGTTTCCTTTTTTTTTTGGGGGGGGGGGCATGGCCCCCTTTGGCCCCCGTGGATCCGACCTTGCAGAATTATGGCAAATCTAAATAACTATCAAAACTATTTAAATCCAACCATGTTTACATTTTGTCGTAATTATGACCATGATTATCGAGATATATGATCACAATAAGAATATTTTAAAAATGGAAAATTCTAACATTCGAAAGTCGAAGCAAGCTGATCGAGTTTTACAAGAGTGAGTAAAGTTTTACAAGTCTAAATTATTGCATGCGCTAATCAGAAATTTAAATTTGCTGCCATTCGGAATTTGCGCGTGGCCTGTCGAAAATTAACAAATGAGCTCACTTTTGAAGAAGACTTTTGAAGAAGCAAGACCTAATATTCTTCACGGAAACTGAAATCTTGCTTGCATAAAGTCAATTAAAGTAATTGTGACTGTCAACAAAATGTGGTATTTGACAAAAGAAAACAAGGACATTTAAGCATTTTTCTTCATCTTCTCGAGACCTCTCACATTTTCATAGGCCAATAATCAATTAGGATTTTTTTTTAGATATTCGGCTGAATGTTCAAATACTCGTCTAAATGCTCGCATATTCCGCTGAATGACCGAATAAAAAAGTCACTATAATACGGGCGATTCCCAATAGTGCGCCTCCAAGAGTTTGCAACGCGTTGGCCAATCACAATGCGCAAAATCTGTCGACCCAATGCGCGTTTGGAAAAGGTCGACTGATTTCGCGCATTGTGATTGGCCAACGCGTTGCAAACTCTTGGAGGCGCATTATTGGGAATCGCCCGTATTCTCGCCCTAACTTACCAATGGTAGAACATCTGCAATATACGGGCTCCTATTCTCTCCACCGTCTGTGACTACTATGATCTTTCCTCCTGCAGCATCTTCCCTATTCCCTGAAACACCCTGCAATACCTGGATACCTTGTCTGATTCCTAAAAAGCCAAGAAAATTTCAAATGCATTTGTGAAAATTACATGTTCGGTTTGATTAGATTATGAAGCTAGATATATGCGACGTGCTGCGAACCCCCTCTTTTTAGTCGGTCATTATTTTTGTTCCCGGATCTCAGGATTTCAGATATCTAGGCCTACAAGGGCATGTGTCAGGTAAAATCATAGTCAAGGGATGCACCCCTGTATTAACATTCCCATAGACGCCAGTGCTTAATGCCCATACGTAAACTTCTTTTTAATATTTAAGCTGAGATTTGAAGGTATTTAAGCTGCACAGAAAAATGATGATCAACATGTCATCTTTAACTTTCTTTTCAATTTTTGGTGGGTTGACCATAAAACTTTCGATAAGTTCCGACCATAGAAGAAGACCCTATTTTTGTCAAAAAAATAGGAAAAGTAGCCATCTTGAAAAACGGTCCCTCCACAATATGGTAAAACAGCGCCACTTTTGAGCTTAATTGCATTTGAAAGGCTCAGAATTGGAAGCCCCAAGACTTGGCCGGAGGTTCTTTTTAATTCCCCAATTGTAAGGCTCTCAGAACTCTCTAATGCAGAATATTTTAAGTTTGTAACTTTTATTCATGAGCGCGGCGCGCAGCCATTTTGCACCCCTGTAATAAAATTCACATAGACACCAGTGCTATTTATACCCATACTTCAAATTCTTGTTTAAATACTCAAAAGTCTCACAGGTATTTAAACTGCACAGAAAAATGATGATTAACATGTCATCTTTAATTTTCTTTTCAATTTTTGGTGGGTTGACTGTTGACTCTTTCGAGAAATTCTCCTATTTCCTAAAGCGGAAAAGTAGCCATCTTGATGAACGATCATAACATGGCAAAATAGCGCCACTTTCGAGCCTAATTGCATCCACAATCCTCAGAATTTGAAGCCCCATGTCCGGGCCAGAGGTTCATTGCCATATCTCTTTAATTCCCCAATTGTATGGCTCTCAGAACTCTCTAATATAGAATATTTGTTGAGGGTATATCTTTTAGTAATGAGCTCAGCGGATGGGTTAAGGCCTATTTACAGGTGTGCACCTCTATACTGTCTACAGGGTACAGGGACACTTAAGATACGTCACCCTGTGCCTCAAATCATGGGCGGTATAAGTGCAACCCCTACGGTTTGAAAATTGCCCAATCTGGTCTGAAGTCCCGGCCTGAAATCCTGTATTTAGCTTCAGCCTGGTACAGTGGTTAAGTTGGTAACACAGGGCCAATCAGCACACATGGTGGTCTTAGAGAGAAGGGCCAACCTAAAGTGTTCACATTGTATATGGTATACCTATTATATCTCACTGACTTTAACTGAAATGACTTTCACTTGTGATTTAGTCCCACTGGTCTTTATAACAGTCTTGCTTCTTTGCATTTTTTTTTTTTGGGGGGGGGAGACATTGGATTTATTATAGTATACGATGAATTTGAAATTTGGAACTTGTAACATTAACCGACAAGAAAATGAGCAGAAGTTATACGTTCAATACTTCTTGAGGGGCTTCTTTAATAAGGGAATAAATGTGTGCTCCGGAGGTTTTTATCACTCTGTTTAATACCACTTAGAGTCTGGGTGCTGATAATTACCCGAGCCGGAGGCGAGGGTAATTATCAGCACCCAGACTCTAAGTGGTATTAAACAGAGTGATAAATACCGACGGAGTACATATTTATTCCCATTCATAAATACCTTTTCGGTAAAAAAAAATCATATAATTCGTTCAAAACATCTCGATTTTGTTCAACAAATTCACTTTATGCTTTTTGAATCATCCCTCCTGCAAAATAATGGAGTGTTCAGCTGGCGAGTAAGATGAAAACAACCCTTTTATGGAGATTGACGCGCGCGTATCATGTTCTATGCGATGTCGCGCAGAACGCACCTGGCGCGTTTCGTTTTGAATTTAGAACTATAAAATTCTAACTCCCTGGTAGTGTTGCGCATGCCTACGTGAGGATTGTGAACGTTCAACCAATGAAACGATAAGAGGCACTGGATTTTTAGGAGTCCACATTTTATTGTGACACTGGAAAAGTGTTTAAGACCAGCTAGCCATGTCTTTATCATCCGTTTAATACCGGCCACGTGACGGGCTCTCGACCAATAGGAATGGCTAAACTGTCTGAGGTATTTATGAATGCCTTTTAAAATGGAATAAACAATTATTTTGCAATGGATAAGCCTACCTGCTCCAATGCTAGTCGATCCATCGGCAACAAGACTGTTGATGCCCACGAGGAGTGAATCTCGATTCACGTCATTGAGGGTTCGAAGTGGTGATACGATACGACTGCTTCCCGCAAATGCAACAAGGCCTAACATCTCTCCATCCTCCAGAATTTCAGTGACAAGCCTTGCGGATGCCTGCGAAACACCAAGGGACGAAAATAGTGCAATTGTTGAAGATACAACATACAAAACGAACTGAAGGCTGTAACATCTGGAAAGAATAGCAGATGATAGCAGACAAGAAATACACCAATGTCAATAAATTTAGCCCAATTCAGAGTTGACGTTAAAACAAAAGCGAGAAGAATTTTTTTAACGTGAGGAAATGGAGGGACACCAGTTACTTTGAAGTTGCTCTCCAATGGTTCTTCAACACATTCGCGTTTTATTCGCCTAACGTCTTTTGCAATTGACATACACTTTGTATTGACACACCATTGTTCTTCTCTGGGCGTCTGTAACCCTCTGGAAAGAAATATACATGTATGTTGATTTGCTTTGGCACAGAACAAAATTATTCTCCTTAATTGTTGTCGGGTCGCAATTAAAACGAAATGAATCTTCTTCTTCTTGCGTGTGAAAACCAAAACAAAGAGGTAGTTTATAGATCTCTGGGTGCTTGCTGAGAAGCCACTCTCGGGTTGCTGCATCAACATCAACATCGATCAGGCCTTGGTACTCATTTGGGGGGCGATAGAGGGGGCACTCGGAGATGATGTGGTCAGCAGTCTGCTGCTCCGCTCCACATTCGCAAGCTGGGCTCTGGGATAGGCCCCACCTCCACATGTCAGCATTGAAACGCCCGATTCCGGTGCGGAGCCTGTTTAGTTTAACCCATGCCTGTCGTGGGCGATCAGATCCTGGGCAACTTCTGGATGGTACAGGAATGTATCTATGCAGATGGTTAGGGGATGACTGCCACTTCTGTGTCCACATCCTGGCCATCCAGTGGGCCTTTGACTCTGTGGGTTGGATAGTTGACAATAGATCCTTTCCACTTGAGGCAAAGGGGCGCCGGGATTTGGGGCGCCGGGATTTGAGTCTGGGTTGTGTCTGTTCCCTGCTGATAGCTTGGTGGAGGAGGTGATCTGGATCCATGGCGCGTCGGGCCAGCGCCATGCTTGCTGCCTGCCTACGGAGCTCAGCTGGTGAGATGCCTGCAAGCACAGGGAGCTGCTCAACTGGTGTAAATTGTAAGCATCCAGTGATTGTGCGCAGGGTGCAGTTAAGGCTCACATCTACCAGGCTGGTGTGTCTGCTCCTACTCCATGCTGGTGCGCAATACTCAGCTGGCGCGTACACAAGTGCCAGGGCAGAGGTGCGGAGTGTTGATGGACTTGCTCCCCATCTTGTGCCCACGAGTTTACGGATGAGAGCACTGCGTGCCATGACCTTGTCTCGGAGTCCGGCAAGATGTTGTCGGTAGAAGAGTGTCCTATCCAGCTTGACACCAAGATATGTGGTTGTTGTCTGGAAGTCCAAGCGCCTCTTGTTGATGTACACATCCAGCTCACGTTTTGCTTCCTTGTTGTTCAGATGGAAGGCTGTAGAGACTGTCTTACCCTCACTCAGCTTCAGTCGCCACTGTCTCAGGTATAGGGCCAAGGTGCTCATGTCCTGGCTCAGGATGCTTTCAATCATCTTCCGCTCTCTGTGTGTTGTCAGGATGGCCAGGTCGTCGGCATATCCGTACTTCTTAGAGAATGTATCAGGGAGGTCATGGATGTACACGTTGAACAGCATTGGAGCCAGGACGGATCCCTGTGGATCGCCATTTTTGAGCCGGCGTGGTCTACTTTGTTGCCCGTCGCTGGTCTTGAGCACGAAGCTGCGGTTAGAGATCAGCTCCACAATAAAGTGTACCATCTGTCTGTCTGGCAGCATCCGTAGAAGTTTTAAAGTCAACCCACGGTGCCATACAGTGTCATACGCGGCGGTCAGGTCTAGAGTACAGCGCCAGCTGTCTCTTTGGCCTCGAAGCAATCCTCGATGTCCTGAGTGAGCAGGGTAACCTGATCCACGGTGGATCGTCCTTTGCGGAAGCCAGCCTGTTCTCGGGGCAGCTGGGGATAAATGATGGGATTGATGCGTCCGTGAATCATCCTTTCAAGCAGCTTGTATGGAACACACAGGAGTAAAATAGGCCTGTTGCTTTTAGGGTCGTCCCTGGGCTTGTTAGGTTTTGGGAGGGCGATGACAGTTGCCTTGCGCCAGATTTTGGGGATTTTGCATCTTTCCATCGAGGTGGACAAGTACCAACGTAACCCCTCGGTTGCAGCATCTCCTGCATGTAAGAGGAACTCTGGGTGGATATCGTCTGGTCCTGGGGCCTTACCCGCCTTCATTGACTTCAGTGCTTCGACCAGTTCTTCTGTGGTGAAGGGGTTGGTGATGTTCACGTCACCACCGTCAACCTTCCATAGCTCAGCAACTTCCTTTCCGACCTGTCTTGAGAAGTCTCGGTCTGGGTTGGTAAACGACCATTCTGAAGTAGTTGCGATGCTATTGCATTAGCACTCACGGGGCATTTGTCAGGTTTAGATGTGTTCCTTCCCGTGAGGCGGTTGATCGTGTGCCAGGCTTTTCGGCTGGAGTGTGTGAAGTCAATGGATTCAACTCTCTCTGTCCAACGATCTTGGCGTTTCTCATCCAGGCGCTTCATCAGGATGTTGGCTGTGGCATCAGATCCCTCTTTGGATGTAGCTGCTGTGTGATCTTCGTACAACTTCTGGCATTCTTCGTCCCAGCATGGGATGTAGTTCCTCTGGTATACACGGGGGACTGACTGCTTGGCTGCGTTGGTGAGCATGTTACAGTATGCCTTGTATGAGGTATCCAGGTCTGTGCTGTCCGGTGGTGGGAGGTTCTGGTTGGCTTGGTTGGTGAGCAATTTGAACCTGTCCCAGTCAGCTTTTCGAAAGTTCCATCGTCTCACTGGTTTGCTTGAGGTAGGAGCAACGAGTGGTACCGGTGTGGCGAGTGATGGTCGGTGTTGGGACCTTACGAATTTCTCCAGCATTCGACGAACCAGGGGTGGTTGGACTTTTGTGCTGCTAGCAAAAGCTAGGTCTGGGTTCGAACCTGAATTCCACCGGGCAGAGTGGAAGCTAGCGGGCTCCTTTGGGTTGTATAGAAGAGTCAGGTTGTTGGCAGATGCCCATTCTACAAGACAAGTTCCGTCATTGTTGGATCTGGAGTAACCCCATTCAGTGTGGTGGCAGTTGAAATCGCCGGCGCAGATGCAGGGGTGAGTGACCGCTGGTAGGGATGCTTTGGTCAGGCGTGTTGGGGGTGGCTTGTACACGTTAATGATAGTTACATCCTGAGCCTTCACGGCCAGCCATTCCAGTTCGGAGTCATCTGCGGATTGTGCCTCCAAGGACCACTCTGTGTCCTGTCTGACAAAGGTGGCGAGGCCGCGGTGTTTGTTCAAGATGTATGCAGCTAGTGTGAATTCGGGAATTGTTAGTTTCTCCGTCGTTTCACAGTGTGTTTCTTGCAGCAAAATAACAGAGGCTTTGTTGGTATATGCAAGCTGTTCGATGATGGTAAGTTTGGCGGTGGTGAGACCCTCGACGTTCAACTGCAGTATCGCGGCACCCTCGCCTTCGACGACAGCTGCCGCCCGCTCGGGGCGGCGGACCTGAGTTTCCATCCTACGTTTGGTTTGGTTTCGTGTCATCGGCAGTAGTCCCCAGAAACAAGTTCGGGATTACAGAGAAGACCACGAGAAGGTTGCCGATATTTCCTCCAAACGAATCGAAAAGTATTTATTCCACAACTAAATATCGGCAGCCTTTTGTGATTTCCCTTTTAAAATGTTTACTTTCTTTCGCAGGAATAGCAATTTAGGTTGAAACTATATAATTGCCCAAAAAATTTCATGTGAAGTATGAATCGGCCTCAATGCCAGTGAAATCATTCGTAACTAATGGTGGTAACGGAACAGAACGAAATGGGACGGAACGTCAACAGGCGCGGATCCTGGGGATGTTTCAGTAAACATTCTATGTACGCAAAAAAGTAATTTCTGGTTTGATGGCGTCATAAGTTAAAACGGTAAGTGCATACATTAAGTTCGGAGAGGATAAATTTTCATTGTGAAGTTAAAATAACGTATGAAAATATGGGAAATATAATTGTTTGTACTAACAACACCTAACTTCCGGTTTGATGACGTATTAATAACACCTTACTTCCGGTTTGATGACGTCACGGTGTCAGAGATCCAAAGGTGAACATTGCAATGGATATCATTATTTGGACTACGAAGATATGACAGGGATCAAATGATAGAATTCAATTCAAAATATGTTCCTTTTCAAATTCTCCTTAACGAAACTTCCGGTCTGATGACGTCATGAATTTAAATCCTTGCCAAGTTATCCGTGGTTAATCAGAAAATATCAAGGGGCGATTTGGTTAAATTTTAACGGATGGCTTTCAAATTAAAGAAAGCAAACACTATTTAATGTGCCGCTAGGGGCGCCCTTTCAAATGATGACGTCATCACACTGTGTTTTGCGTTTGACATTCCCCACTTAACACTTTCATACTTTATATGTGTGTAGTAAAATGCTCCCGCTTTTGAGTTATATGCTGTTTTTATTGCACTTCAGGTAACACCGGAAGTGCAGGTCAAGCGGTTTTGTATCCGTGGACAAGAAATATTTTTCACGGCATAGTCTACAACATCACGAAAAAACGAATACAATACTTTATTAAGTTCAAAGATATAGCACAAACTATTTTGTCAAAATTTGCCCTTAACTCGCTTGTAATTTGATACCCGATGGCGTTATCATGGCGTAACAAAATTTATAACATTTTCGTACCATGGTTTAAGTTCACACTAGGTTTATGATCATACCGCAAACCGTTTGGAAGAAAGTTTGCTTTCGTTTTGATTTCAGGCTAAAGTCTTCCTTTTGAATTCACCTATATACCTTTGATATTCCGGTAGACCCGGAAGAAAAGGTCAAGTGAGTTCACGTACACGACAAAATATGTTTATCAATTAATGGTCTATCTGATTACAGAATACAAACATCAATGATTTTTTTGTTTTATAGTTATAGGTGAAAGTATTTGGTAGTTTTTTTCCAGCTAAACTTGACACCCGATGACGTTATCATGACGTCAGAGTAATATGCATACACCACTATGGATGAGGATTGATATATGTTGAAAATTACAAGTTCATATACCATATACCGTTTAGGAGAAAACTTAAGCTGTAATCCTGAGCGATTGCAAGGAAAAATTGTATTGAGCACTGAATTAAAAAGTATGTGGCTGCAAACAAAAATGCTTTTATTTTCAACTTTCTTTTTTGATTTGCCCAAAACGCCACATCTTTAACCCACCTCCTTATCACCCCCTACAGATTACATGAACAAATTCTCAAACATTTGCCCCCCCCCCAAAAAGTTTGGTTTTGGATCAACCCTTGCACTAAATACTCATCACCACGGCCAGTGCACATATTTCTATTCACTTAACTCTTATTATTTAAATGTATTCACTCATGTAAATGATGATCCTTAAGAATGAAAGATCCAATTATCTGGAGTTTCAATGATCTGATTATTTGAACGCAATAAACCAGGAAATCATTAAAGGAATAAAACTTGTGCATCACTATATTTCTTTATGTTAGGACCCTTGCAGCACACAGATTTGTTTCAGTCTTTTTGTTCAGGCCCTTATCTTCGCATATAACTCATATTTTGAGTTTTTACACAAATTAAAACACAATGACTGAATCCGATCGAATTACAGTTTTGATGCACAGCCCTTTTATTTTAAGGGTAGAAAATGAGAAATAACATACAAATCACGGCAGCCTCTTACAAAAAATACATTAAATAAAATAATAACCACTACTTTCCCTCAAGGGTATCTGGGGCGCCGGGCATAAGTGAAAAACGTGAAAACAGTGAGCACGTACATTTAGAAAAACATGTTTATCGGGTATATTTAGAAGTAGGTTAATGTTGACAATGGAAATCAAAAACTGCGGCATTCCCTAATTCTTTATGAGTTTGTTATTACATAATTTGAAAGAATGACAATAACAATAGCAATAATAGTAATACTTGGCCAGTAACTGCGATCAGTAAATTGTGACGTTGCTACTTTTTAACTGAATTAAATGCGCAAATGAACCACAAAGAAAACTTTAAAATAATGAATTAAATGCTTCAATATAAAGACTAGAAAGTGCCGAATGCACTAGTTGTTGCGTATGGCACGTAATTTAAAATTTGTTTAAAGCCGGCCTTAGGTCGACCCGCGATTTTCTCGCGCCACGACGGAACCGTTGGCATCAAGCAGAACAATAACACTCAGATCGCAAAACTGAGAAATCGTGTGATTGTCGCGGAGCACGTCGCAGAAGTTCTGCAACTGGTGATTTTTTTGAGCGCCAACTGATGCTGATTGTCTTAATATCGTCGCAGTTACACTCAGGTCGCACAAAATCGGCGACTGAGTTGTTCCTGACGGTCGTAGTTCAGACGCAGCTTGATCTTGTAAAGTCAGTCGCAAGGTCGACGTGAGGTCGGCTTAAGTCATTCGTGTACAACCTCAATCGTACGTACGAGTTACAATTCATAATTAAGTCGTACGTTCTCGATATAAGTCGTATCGTACGTGATATTAAGTCGTACTTACGAGTTACAATTCATAAGTCGCAGGTAAGATTTGTAACTCATACGAACAAGATATAAGTCGTGCGTGCGAGTTACAGTTCGTAAGTCGTACGGACATTATCAGGTGTACTTACGAGTTATAAGTCGTAAGTACGAGTTATAAGGCGTACGTACGAGCCATGATTCCCGGGCGTACCTACGAGTTGAGTCGTACCGGTACGTACGAGAAAGTTGAAGGGAGAGACTTTTTTCACAATGTTGTACCTTACAATTTTAAAAGGATTGGGAGATTAAGATATGATTATTTTATACCTGTTTGAGCTGAAGTAGTTTTTGTCCCCGCATGCTACCAGAGGTATCTACGACCAGAACGATGTGGCTTGGTCGCTTCTTGACCACAGTAAATTCAGGCACGGTTTCGACGTTAATGTCGTTCTCGCTGTTCCCCGAAGCAAAGTCGCTATGTTTGAGCATAACCTTTTTTTTAACCAAAGAGAATTAAAAAAAGACGCACAATTCAACTGAGCTTCTTGACGACACTTAAACGACAGTGGATATCCTTTGCTATTGTGTTTTGATCCCGTCGTGCAGATGCAACACTTAACTGGCTCTTTTAGGCTATGTGCTAAAACGTTTAATTGTTGCCAAAAAGCGTTAGTATGTATTCAAAACTAAAAACATTGGGTTTATGACATGGGCGTCGCGGGGGGGGGGGGGCGAGGTGGTATTTTTCCAGCATAAATTTCTAGGCGGAGGCCTAATACTACAGCACGTTACTAATATTAAATACTCCCGTAATTCACGGATAAGCAATACCCCTGTGATTCTGTGCTTGAGCGTATTGAGATAATGATGCAAGCATTCAAAGCACAGTGTGAATGTACTGGGCCCTTAAGGGCAGAAGTATGTCTGACGTAGAACCATGAAACTGGGACCCGAAATGTTCTATACTTATTTCGTTATAAGCGTACCTCCCATATGCTTTTCCCGTTACACAAACGGTTTTGCCTGTTGGGTGCTTCCCTGTTGTGCACGTTCCCCTCCGGCGTCCCGTTGGCCGCTTTCTCACAAAAGGTGGAAACCTTAATTCGGAAAAGTTTCATAAGAACGTTAGGCCTAAGGCTGTTCCTCAGAAATTAAAATAAAGCTTATAAAATTTCTATGGGAAGAAGATAGTGTAAATCAAAATAGAAGGACAGCGTTGTTGACATAATAACGGAACACTCTCAATACTTGAAAATGATCAATTTCAAATGTTTGGAGATGGGAGGACACAGTGTTTAAAAAAATTTATTTTAATAAAACGCACAACCCTATATAAAGTGGTTCATTTTTAAAAAGAAACGTTTATATTGCCATTATAAGTTGGAGGTTAAAGCCTAGGCCTATGTTGATTTTAATAAATCAAAAATTAAACCAATTTTGGAGCCAATTTTGAAATCTCAGGTTCGGCAGAAGGTTTCAGGTCATGATTTGCATAGCAGATTTTAGCCGATTCCGACGGTGAAAATTGTCCAACACCTTGTGTCCATGCAGGACTGCAACTCTCTTTCTCGTGGATTAAGGACATTCAAGTTTTCAAATGGTGCTTTTTCAAGGGAGATAATCGGATCCAAGATAGGACCCGTAGAAAGGCTGCTAATATTGGCAGTAACATTGGCAATAACATATCTACATATTACATGCCTTACTGTGGAACAAACATTAAGCAAATGGGTTTATATTTTGTCCTCCAATGCTGGTCAACATACAAACTGCCGAAATTCTAAGGCAAATTATTTTCAATTAATATAGTTAACCAACAATAAAGTCACTTTATGCCAATGTATTCATACAAACAACATTGCCAAATGGTGTTTTACCCAATCTGTTTTTTTTTTCACACTGTACCTTGGGCCGAAATATACTTTTGGGATCATGTTTCTTTTTTTTTTTTTTGCAAAAGAAGAAATGTCTGTTTGATAGTTTTACTTTCCTATTAAGTTCAAATTTAATTGGAAACTTGTTTTTTCCAATCGACCATATGGAGGCAATCTTGGATTTCAAAACGGCCAAAATGTCGAACATAATTTGCTTAATAAGTCGGGATATGATTGTAACAACAACTGGGCTTTGTTGCCAAACGGTGTTGTGTGATTTACATAGCCAAAGCTATTAAGTAGTTTAGGAGTTCATATCCGAAACTGTCATTAAAACATTACAACAAATTCATCTTCAGTGGTCCATTAAAAAGAAGAGAACTTGATTTGTTACCGCGGGTAAGAACTGCTTGTACATGAGGGAGCCGGTGTAATCTGTACCGCGGCGGTCATCCCAAAACTGACATGCAGGCTCAGGCAGCCCGTTTTCGTCTTCCTGGCACTCATTTGGCTTGTTTGGGAGCACCCGACGACCTGTGCATGTGAGGTAAATTGAAATTAGAGAGATCATTAGTTTTTTTTTAAAATGAAATTCACCAATTGCAGCGACAACTGAAGTTCACGATATATGTATAGTGGTGTATATCGTATCGTATTCTCTGTATTGTGATACGTATTGTACCGCAAAAGTATCATTAATATAGTATTTTTAAAAATGAAATTCACCGATTGCAGTGACAAGTGAAGTTCACGATATATGTATCATGGTTTTGTACGCATGATACGTATTGCATCGCGAAAGTATCGTTAGTATTTTTTAAAACGAAATTCACTGATTCCAGTGACAAGTGAAGTTATGCATCGTGGTGTATATCGTATCGTATTGTTTGTATTGTGATACTATTGTACCGCGAAAGTATCATAGACAGCCATGAGGGAGGGGGGGGGGGGGTTGGTGGTGGTCTGAGATGCCCTCAATTGTGATTCTGACTGATCGGCACTTGTGATTTAACTTGCTTAACCCCCACCTTGGCCCCAACATTGGCTCAAATGACTACCAAGACCTTATAGACCAAAGTGGCTCGGGACCATCTTTTAAGACTTGGCTGGTCTTGTTCAATTACTGGGTGAATAAATAATTAACAAGTGTTCATTTTGCCGTATGTATTCATAGACTGCACGCCCAGTGATTTCCGGGAGCAAATAATAATAAAGGAAAAGTGTAAATAGTTAGTTCATGTTCCTGATTATCTACTCAGCTAAAGTCTTCAATATTCAGATACTCGCCGTAAAATTTTGTAAGGAACGCTTAGACTTACCCGTTATTTTTAGGACACACCTGACAGCCTCGATATTCCCATTGGAATGAGCGTAGAATTGAACATCTTTCGGATACGGGTATTCGTCAAACACACCCCACCGGTAGTGCGCCCATTCGTGGGTAATTAACTGTAAACAGTAATTAGGAATTGAAATAAATAGTAATTTAGTTGAAAGTAACGACGGGAAAAAGTTTCTGTATAAAATTGTCAACGACAGGGCCTACAGCAAAACCCGTAAAAACGCTGTCCATTTCCCGTAATTGTTATGGTTTATTGCCGTTATTGCTCGAACCGTCACAAGAAAGAACGTGCTACGTGAATTTCCCGTAAAAGTTGGTGCCCTGATAGCCATGTGGTTGCGAAGGGCGATTTCCAAAGGCTACGTTGCACTTCATTTTGAATGAAACTACATGGACACAGACATGTTCACACAGGCGGGCGCAATCTTTGAAAAATAATTTCTCCCGTTTGGGAGACCGTATCTTCATGCAAATTTCCATGTTTAGTTCCCTTATAAATGATCCAATGTGCTAAAAATCGTTGTTCATTACTTTTCGTTGAAATTGGAAAATAGGCCTGGCTAAGTGCATTTTTGAAAGTTGCAACACTGCAGGCGTTTGCAATATCTTTAAATCTTTTCAAGCCTCACTGAATATTAGTAATGTTCCTATCCATTATGGTTTGTAGTAAAAATGTGCATAAAAGCCTCCTTCACGAGTTAAATAGTTAATAAATATCACCCTTTTTGCCGGCTTCCATTGGTCGATACCGAGACCCACGCGCCAGGTGGCGCTAATGAATTTGCTAATGTACCCTGTGTCATTGTGCTGCCGGGCCGAAATTGGTCAACCGTAGCGCCTACGGCGTTATGAAAACCGTGCACGTTAGTAAGGTCGGAAAAAAATCGTCTTCGAGATTTTCCTTGGAGATAGTTCAAATTGTAACAGATTAAACTGAAATTCGGAATATTCTTAGATGATATAAGTGTTCAACTACTCGTGAAATAACAACTGAGTAGAATCCTAATAATTTTGATAAGTACATATATTTTGGAACGTTTTCGAACGATTTCCTCCTGACTTGAAAGTCAGCTTTCCCAGTAACCATGATTGACGTTTCGGAATCGATGACGGCGATTTTTTCACTGAAATGAAGTTTAGAATTTTTCTTCCGTTATAATTTAACATTTCAATCATACTGAGCATATTTTCTGAGAAACACAACGTTCGAAAGGCCATGTTTTTGGGGTTTGTGGATTTCACTGCTCTGTTACAGCGTCTAAGTACGTTATCGGAATAGCTTTGCTTCGCTTCGCCTTCGCAATTATTTGGCTGCTGATGCAGGCTGGGATTCGCAATGCTTTTGTACTCATTTCCTCTCCCCCTTTTAAACTTTTACAACCGAAAAGCTGCCCTTAGAAAAGCTGTGATTTGTATTATACACAGGTAGTGCATACATGCAAGGTTCACTACGTGTTTAATACACAGCTGATCAGTATGCTGTTAAAGCTGTAATACGGCTGTGATATTGCAGGATTCGAAAAGCCAAGCCGCTCATCATGCGGTGTTGACCAGCAATAGGTCGACCCCTTTCTGCGGAATCAGTAAAAAGTTGTAATTGAAAATTACACAATAGCTTACATATACAAGTTTTGTGACAACTTAAAAATAATTTTACCTAAAATGATATGAAAACCACTCTTAAGCTGTAAAACGTACTCCCAGCTGCCGTAACTGGAACCTATCTCCTGCCTACCCCTGCACAAAGCCCCGACGCCACACCACTTTGTATTCCATTACTTTACGGCAAATTACCGTTAAATTAACGGAAAATTCGTATTGAAATTACGGTCATTGGATTTTAGGAAATCCGTAACTGACCGTAATTTTACGGTTTTTTTTGGTTGGCGGTGCCTTCACCGTAATTTGTTTTTCAGTGTATTGCTGTAAACTGCAAAACGCAAATTACAGCACTTGTGTAACACCTTTTCAAACCTATAACGCGACACAAAATGACAAAGTTAATGGTACCATTCTATTACAATACCCATGTCCTTTTACTAGTTCTTTCTTGAAATTTACATGTTTATATAGAAATTCAACAAACAATACTGCCAATATCAAAAGACTATATCTGTTAATTGAGTGTCTTGCCTCTTAAACGTAGACACCTTTAATTACGCGCGACCAACAATCGGGTATACCGGTAGTCACCCAACTTTCATTGGATACCAATAACGACTCCACGTTGTGAACAATCCCAACCCGGCTGGGTTTAACCTCAGATCCAGTTCTCGGATATCACGACATTTTTAATTTTATGAAAACTTCACTCAAAATTAATAGACGGCTTAGCCATTCAAAGCCTTGGACATGTGCTGTCACGTTTGATGCACTGTGAGATACACTTTTATTCCCTTAATAATATGCAAATGCGTGACGATCTGAGCAAACTGACCGAAACGTCGAGTCAGCATCTCTGGTTCTTCTTTATAGAACCTCTCCATAATAGAGAGTTACTCCCAAGCATATCCTCAAACTTCTCTAAAGGTTTAGACCAATGTTTATTGTCGAACATGCAACGCTTCAAATCGCTCTTTATGTAAATTAAGCGAGGAAATACCCCCAAAGCGAAGTAACCTTAACAAAGAATCAAAAAAGAAAAAAAATCACAATTGTAATAAGAAAAACAAATCACCTTTCCATAAGGTCCAAAGCGGCTTTCAGAGTCCTGCGATAGGAAGTATTTTGGCGTTAGATGGATATATTGCCCGGATCCCCCACACTCTTTTAAACCGCGCACAAACGGAACGTCTCCTGAATGTCTGTCGACGAGGACGTCACGTTGGTCGAAGCGCTGCCAAGTTACGCTGGAATACTCTGCCGAGTCTTCCCAACTCTCCGGAACCAGGATGTGAATGTCTTTGAAGTAGACACGCTTCCTGAAAAGGAACACCGTCAAAATATAGGTTTTATCGGACAATTTTGGAAAATGTGCATTGGAATTTGTTTTTGAGAGCGACGTATATCCTGGTTTCATTTTCGCAATAACTAGCTTTCGATTTCATTTTGCATCATTCAAATAAATAATTGTGCATAACGTTTCATTTAAAGGATTACAAATACGTGAGCTTTCGGTTTGAAGGATGCGTTGCCGAGTATTACGAATGTGCAATCCAATTGGCAGAAAATCCAATTGTGACAAGGGCTAAATTGAACGTTCTTGTTCATTTGTTATAATTTGAATTCACATATTGTGCATTCAATTAAAGAAAGTATACAGACCTATACAAATCACGATAGAGCTTTGATTGATTAATTAATTAATCAATGTATTGTAGGCCTATTTGATCATGTGTTTGTTCTTATACACAAAGGCCTATTGAAATAGGCAAAAGAAATGTTAAAAAGATATAAATCTTACGAAAATAAAATCCATCAAAATAATCTTGCAGGCTATTATCATTTGGACGGTAAAGGGAAACATCACGTGGCATGTTACATCGGATCTGGGGACTTTTTGGTTGGTTCTTTGTCTTATCTGTATTTTAATGTCTTTCTGCATTTCTTAAAGTTCTCTCTCATTTTATCATTTCGATAGCTTGGTTGCAATGATGCGATTGTGGCAAATGCTGAGCAAAATAAGAACGATTGCCTTCAGCTTAGGTTTTTATATTGAATTTATTACAACAGTTGGTATGTTTCAAAAGACTACACCGCATGGTTCAGTTCAATCATCATGAATATTCAAACATTCAAACATTTAATCAAACATTCCTCATATATATGTTACTTTTGTGAACACATTAATTAATTCCAATGCTTACCAGGCATACGTTTAATAACGCTGCGTGGGAAAATGGCTGCACATTAAGCGAAATAGATTGATGGTAAATTAAAAGGAAAACAGGATTGCGGATGTGCCTTCCCGATTTCGCGCTAAAATGAAATGTTAATTCACCAAATTCAGTGCACATTCGGGAAATCGTACGCTATTTTTTACGACTGAATTGCACCTCAGTGGAAATAGAACTATCATTTGTTAAATAGAAACAGGAATTTGGAACGTTCATTCTATTTCGCACGAAAACGAATGCTTCTTTTACAAATTCATGTACACATTTTCCAAATTGTCCGGGAAAACCTATAATAGATGGATATATTGTCCTCGGAATATTTACCAAAAACGCGCCCCCTTAGTTTCCCATAATATACCAAATTTTAATTTTCACAACCAAACCAAACGAATTAATTTAAATACTTCGCAAAAATTGTTCAGTGTAAGAAATTCGTGAAGTTATTCATGACAATTTGTAAATGGAGACAAGATAATGTCCAAAAATGTTGTAGTAACGTTGTATTCAGCGTGCTATAATACGTGCAAAAAAACACGCAGTATTATATGAAAGACTTATTTTGCTCAATTTTCGGGGACAGATTAGCGCAGCGTGATTTTTCGCCTGGGAGGCCTCGAGGGCGCGTGGGACGGCTCGTGGCAAGTTGCGGCCTGAGCGCGATTGTTTTCCCCAAACGAACATCCGACTGAAGACTTGACTCAAGTTGGAATTACTTTAAGTCGGTACCTCAAAAAAAAAAAAAAAAGAAATCAAGAAATCACAAAAATCACTTAGTTTACATCTTTCCAAAGCAACAAAAAGCGAGCGTTCCACTTGGGTGCGGTATTACAATGCGCGCACCTGTACATTGTACAACACGCGTATTATGTGCATACATGTGGTGCAAAAGTCAGCTGCATCACATAAAAATAACATGTACGTGTAAATAACATGTATGTGACGCATGAGGGCGCGTTATTGTATGGCGTGTACAGCGCCTACGGCACTATAGGATATTTGACGTACACGTTTGCGCTATAAAATACAGACCGAGCGCAACCCAGATCGCATCGATCGGAACAAAACCGGTGTTTCGACAACCGTCGGCAAGAGTGCATTTTATAACGACTGCATGGCATTAATATTTGGTTAATTAGTCAATTATTTTTGGTCAATTGTCCGGGGACAGACAGACAGACTGACCGACGGACCGACCGACCGACAAGTGACATGTAGCAGCTCCTGCCACAGCTTAAATGTGAGGAGGTCCCTAAGGGCCCTGTCACACTTCTGCGTATCCTAATTTCTTATAAGTTGCGCATTGACATTTTTTTCATACGCAGTCGTACGCACAATACGCACTTCATATGCATCTCTATCGTTTTGTGTAGGTTTTATGTACGCAGATATACGCATGGTACGGCCCAATACGCCGGATAGTTTTTGGCATGCAAAAAACTATGCTGCGTACGCTGTTACGCAGGTCATAAGTTATAAATACGCAGCGCATCGGTCCCGCATCGGTCGAGTGCGTTACGAGTACGCTATGTGTTCGTGACGCACCTCGTCAGCATATGAGCCGCCTGTATTGGACGTATACATAGCGTACTTGCAGCGCAGATACAACGCACGCTGAACGAACTCATAGCGAATGCCTACGTATTGCACGAATTAGTACCGCTCGTCCTGCGAGCGAGCAGCGCATTGTACTTATTCGTAACTTATGAGAAACGCACAGATAGCGTACTTGTGCACTGCATACGCAACTCATACGCATCTCATACGCAATGGATGCGATGAATTCGTTACTTGTACGCTAGATGTGCCGTCGCACATAAGTCAAAGTAATCAAAAAATGTCGACGTTTGAGCGTACGGCTGCGTATTGAAAAAAAATTGATAAGGAACTCATAAGGAATTAGGATACGCAAAAGTTCGGGTCGACCTCATGCTTGACGCACTTCTGAGCGTATCTTAATTCCTTATGAGTTGCGCATTGACATTTTTTTCATACGCAGTCGTACGCACTATACGCACCTCATATGCATCTCTATCGTTTTGTGTAGGTTTTATGTACGCAGGCATACGCATGGTACGGCCCAGTACGCAGGATAGTTTTGGGCATGCACAAAACTACGCTGCGTACGCTGTTACGCAGGTCATAAGTTTTAAATACGCTCAGAAGTGCGTCAAGCATGAGGTCGGCATAAGTCGGGTGCGTCCGGAATACGCTCGGCATGCGCACTACATACTGACCTATTCGCAGTTCGAAAAATAATGTTTGTGTACTGCAAACGGAACTCATATACATCTCATACGCAATGGATGCGCTGAATTCGTTACTTGTACGCTAGATGTGCGTAGCACATAAGTCAAAGTGATCAAAACATTTCGACGTTAATTGAGCGTACGGCTGCGTATTGAAAATGTTTGATAAGGAACTTATAAGGAATTAGGATACGCAAAGGTGTGACAGGGGCTTTATGTCATACAATGGCTTAACACTGACAGCTCGGCTTGCTGCTTACTTAGAATTCGAGTACTGAATCTAACAACTGAGCGTGTTCGATGCATAATATGTTTTTTAAAAAGGGTATGGTGTTCTCTGTAGCCGTAATGGAGGCTATTAATCTAAAAAAGGGCCGCCTTGCTTAAAAATCAGTTTTTATAAACCTCAACATAATAAACTCGATAGAGGGGTAATAAGGTTCCAATATTTTCCTTACCGTTATGATAAAGGCATTCATGTTCTTTTTCAATAACGCCTTGGTAGAAAAAATATTTCTCTTTAATAATGGTGCATGGAAACCCCGCCATTTTCGCCAATTTACAACCGGAATTTACTGCTGCAAATGTTTACAAGATCTTCAAGGTTACAGATTTAGCTTGAGAATACCGTTTGTTTAATTAAGATTGCTTTTGTTTATCTAGAGATATGTTTGAATAACCGCAAAGCAAAAAAAAAAAAAAAAACTCTTGTGCCACTTTTAAGAAGCGAGTGCTTTAAAGATCAGACAATGCCAGTATGGTTCTTTTGATAAGATTATCCATATGGGTGTAAGACAAACATTCCATTCACACGACAATATAGGAATTTGTTTTAAACAATTTAATAGTACAGACAGGTTCACTTCTTTAAAACTTCAATGAAAGAGTTCAATTAGATATGAATATAAATATTGCAGACTCTGCTTAAAAATGTTAAAATCACTAACAGTAAAGTGATTTGGTTTTAGACTAGGACTGTACTGATTGTAACTGCTTCTCAGAAAGTGGAGGTGAAACCATAAAATATAGGAACTGAACAAACAGATAGTATCAGCCAAAAGGAGCCTGGGCACATGAACTTGCGGGATCATTATTTCACATCACGTGAGTTGCCAGTAGGAACTTAGGCCGAATCATATTCTGCTGTACACTATAAGTATCTGAAATCGTACGAACTTTGCAACAGGTGCACATACAAACCCTTTCTGCCTGGGATTATTTATCAGAGGGGGTGAAAGAGCGCAACCTTGGCCATGTATTCTGAACCTATCTGTTGTGCAAATTGAACACGGGACTGTCCCTGAATTTTCCTCTGCGAACAGAACAACACATTACGTGCCCCAAAATAATGCCGATGTGCTTTTCCGTTATTTGTTTCTGTGATTCAAAAATCTATATTAGTTTCGTTTTTACGACTTTTTGTGCAATTATTTTTTCGCCTTGTGAGACAAATACATGAATTTCCATTCCTTTTAAGTTGCTATAATTTTGCCAAAAACAGAGGTGTGCTGTGTCCAATTTGACAGGACAAGGAATTGGCTGTAGAACGCTTGAGAAGAAAAAATTGCAAAATGTACTATCGAAGTGAATGAGGAAAAAATGTTGCAAAATCGCTTTCAATTGAGTCCATGATTATTTGTTACCAAAGGAGACAGATGTACAATATGTAAATCAAAAATTCAATCAAAATATTAGGGAATGCTAGGAGTAGAATGTGTAACCAACACAGATAATATAGATAGGGTTTGAAAGACACGCTTTTCCACTTTAAAATGAGACATCAAACGTCCAAATCTGATAATTGTTGACAGAGTTATGACAATATGGGACCAAGTTTTCAATTTCAGGCATTGGGACAAAGGTAGCCTACAATTGCCTCTGTGTGGATAATTGCCTGATCTACAAAATGTGTTACCGAGTTAACACAATTCGAAACACTTTCCTGCTATCAGTTTGTAAAAATGTTTACCTGGTAAACATCTTTGTATTTGTAATTTTGGTGCTTTTGTTTTTAAATCGAAAATGTGAATCTCCATATTCATAATTCAGCACCAGAAGTTGTTAGAATTGTTGATATTTCGCAGTCGTAAATTGTAATTTCTTAAGTGATTCATTGTTGTGTCAGTACCTTTAACATCCCAATTTACATTTCGATCGCCGTTATTCGTGGATTCTCTAATATAACCAGTAAGCGCAAAATCGTTCAAGTCCACACCTGTGGTATTGTGGTTTAACATGTGTAATATTGTATAAATAAGCATTGAGACAAAGTGCTGCGTTTGTCTGGAGAAGATAGCTGACACTTTTAAATGAAAAAGAAACTTCATTTCAACATCTCAAAACCACAGGGGCGAATCCAGGAATTTTCGCAGGGGGGGTTTTAATCAGCCAAAAAAAATCTGAAAATGTTCACACGTGTTTTTCTCCGGACACTTGTCCTCCGTAAAATAAAAAACTGGGGGAGGGGGGGGGGGGGGGGGCTGGTACCAATTGCAATAGGGGGCGCTGTTCAAATTCGACGATTATTAACACTCATTACAGAATGGTGTTGGACATTACACCAGTATAATTTTTTTGGGGTGTCACAGCAGGGGGGGGGGGGGGGTTCGACTTTTTTTTATAGGAATTTGTATGAGATGTTTTTTTTTGACAGAGCTGGGGGGTTTGACCCCCCAAAACCCCCTCTGGATCCGCGCCTGAACCATATACCATTTTACTCTAAAACAATTGATAGTTCTTTACACGTTAACCTCACCTTAAAGGACCAATAAAATCGACTCAAAGAAAAAGCAAACAACAAGCCTTGTGCGATTTCAACCCCTACTTGATCTGTTCGTTAAGGAAAAATTGTTGCATTGCAGACCAGATTAATTTCACTGTCAAAACTCAACAACAACTGGTTTGTCTGTCTCAGACTATTGTCCGTCAGAGTTTTGCAGCTAGCTATGTGCGCAAATGATTTGGGAGTAACTATTCGATTTCCTTTTCCGAACGAAATTTAAAGGAATGTAATGTCCTATAACAAATAACTTTGCTTGTCTGTTTTTGCAGGCCTTTATACAGTTTTAAAATGGTGCACTCCAATTCAGAAAGTTTTGAGCGAAATGCTTTAAATAGTCATATCTAGTGACGTATCAGCTCATACATTATCTATGTTAATTTTGCATTCGCTTGGTCCGCCGATCAACGAGATAATCGCCGGGCCAGTTTGCGAAATTGCTCCACGTTCATAAAAGGTATACGTGCAGCCAGGCCGACTTGGTTGCACTACAAGTCCTACGTTTTATCGGAATATCTGCTACTTTTGCGTCGTTTCCTCTCACTTAAATTCATTAATTGGATGATTATACTTGTCGTGGGCCGATTCGTCGTTCGATGTCTCATTGGAAATTCATAACTAATGCAATGGTAGGAAATTATCAAATCAATGTAAATCTATTTTTCAATGTGCCACACGCAAAAAGCACGTGTAAATAAACTTAGAAAACGTTTGACATTCCTCAGCACCGACTTTGTAAGTTCTTTCACATAATATATGCACGCGGTAATGGCGGCATACGGAAGATACTTAATAATTTTTATCCATTAAAAAACAAATATATTTTTGACGTTTGTATACTTTGTCGTTTGTATAGGCCAGTTCATACCACACGAAAGCGAAGCGAATTCCATGACATCAACAACCTAATAAACTGATTCATTCTGACGATCGCTTTTACCCAAGCGAATTCGCGAGTTTTGTTTTAAATGGAAGTCGTCTTTTACAGGGCTGAAGACACTCAAAATAGTAAAGTATGCAAAGAAATGTGTAGATGGGCAGAATAAAAGCAAAGAAATTAAAACAAAAGCAAAAAAACAGATTAAGAAGAAAATAATTCTTATTTCTCTTGAACATTTATACGAAAAAAAATCCTCACTTCAACTTACCTGGTAGCCTGAAACAGGAATTTGGAGCCTTCAGTGAAGATTAACTTTATGCGGTCTAGCAGAGCTGGATTGTTGGGAACCCTGTCACTGATGCCGATCAGCAGATTCACGTAGCCCCCGTCCACAAGCTCCAGCGAAGCTTGACTGTCCCTCTGCGCCGAGACCAGGCCGCGAAAGCCCCCCGACACCAAGAGGACCGCCACGGCCAAGGAAACTGTGACTCCTCGTAACATGTCAGTTTAGGCCTACTTACCACCGATAGAAAGAGTAATGTACAACAGTTGATGAAGTCCTGACGTTCAGAAGAGTCTACCTCTTTAAGCTATGATGATTGCAACAATTGACAAATCGTGACGTCGCGAGTTTGTTATACAAAAAAAGTCTATATATTTTGCTTTGTTTCGTCAGCAGCAGTTAATCTTCAATTAACATTATTGTTCTCTTGGTATGGCCGTTTATTATTGTTTGCCTGCTTGAGTTTTTCGCGGTTGTTTAATTGGAGTAGGTAAACTTGAATTGGAGCGGGTATGAATCGAACAGTAAACTTGTCGTGCGTTGGCACGCGCTCTCGCGTCCAAGTTCGTAGGTGAAGTTTTACAGATATCACAGCCGACGGCTGCCTTCTAGCGCAAGGTATTCTCGACTGTTCTCCTAAGGTAACTTTTAACTTGCAACCTTTTGAGAACGGACTGTGTGATTTTGTGTCTGTGTGTATTTCCAGTAAGCGTGTATACATACCGTGCAATTGTTCGCTGAGAGTGTGGTCGATTACTCCCCCCCCCCCCCCCCCCCCCCCCCGGCTTACTCGCGCCTGGCTCCTCGCGTGATGACAGACATGCGAAGTGGAGCTACAGAAACAAATGGTTTCGGGTAAAGTTTCGTGCACGAGCCGGAAAGGGGACATTTGACAACATGACACAATCAATCGTCTATAGAGCTAGGTCTAAGTCCACGCCCGTTGAAAATACGCGGGGACGCGTATTATACGCGGGGACTACTATTATTGTTTGTTTTTTATCCGTTCAAGCTTTACTGTTTACATGTATGTAATGCTTAACAATCTACCATCTTTTTTAACAACAAAACAGAAATGAATAAATGAATGAAATGAAAATATACTTGACACATTGCTTAAACAAACGCGTGTTACAAGTCGAACTGTTGGTCAATGTATATTAGTTATGACTGACTCTGAAGGCGCATAAATAAAAAAATAAGCGATATTTTCTGATTACATTTATTAAAGCTCAAGTGCTCATGGTCACATCGGCGAGCGTAGCTTACAGGCTCCCCGTACAGGGACTGAACTGTCTGGAAGATCCCGTAGGATGAATGGACAGAGACGTTCGAGTAACTGTCGTCTCCTTGATATCCTTCATCTGATGGATCGCCTGACTTACATGTCTTTTGTTGTGGAGAATACAAATTCTAAGCGTTTTCAAAGTGTCCGCCGTCCCTGAGCACTTCAGAATTTTATTCAACAGTATGTAGGACGTTTTGACCAGAGGATTGTATAGGTGCAGGCATGTTAGCCCCAAAATTACATGCGCCAGTAAAATCACGGTTTGCATGACCTCAATTGTTTCTGATGTGAAACATGTTGTGGGCCATGAACATGATGGTCTGTAAAAACTATGGTTGGAGCCGTGATTCGGACTGTGAGATTGTGTCTTTGCGAAATTTGGATGAAATTGGACCCTTAAACTGCTCTATTCTGCAGTGGAGTGGGGTTTTTTTGGGTTCAAAATGGCGATGGGCTTCATTACTTTTAGAGGCGATCATCTTTGGATGAAAGTTTTTACCCAAAGTTGGATATATACACAACGTAGGCTCGATACTCAGAGGAAGAGTGTAGTGGAGGGTCATGCGGGAGTTTGCAGATCCTTCTAGGCCTATATTCAAATAATTTCGTTTGATTAGTTCTTGATAACTTTACGAAGCAATTAGTTGGAGAAACAAATACAGTGTTAAATCGTCATATTAGACTCGAAAACAATAGACGTCCACACAATTGACTTTAGCTGTAGTCTAAATTGCTGTAACATCTAATCAGTGGTTTAATAAATGTATGGTCTTTTACAAACTTTTCTTTTCTGTAAAGGCATCGAAACGTATTTTAATTTTTTTTCAGGTATACGGTCGATTAAAAAATCCCACACAACTCATATTTCATTTTATCACTGAAAGATAAAATACATTATTCTCCACAAACGCACAGTTGAGTCCTACACTTTCTTTTATCAGTTGGTTGCTATGGTGTAGGAAAAGTATAAACAAAAGTAAACATATCGATTGTCCTAATTGCAGTTAGCCGCCCCTTGATGGCATGAAGCCAAAAACGATGTTTTGGGCATAACTATTGATGTTTTCTAAGTTGATACAAATGTAATAAGTTCACGCACGCCCACTGACGCGCTAGGTGCATAATATGGGGCAAGAAAGGCCAGTTCGGCTTAGCTTTTTGAGACCGCTACATCAAAAATAAACCCACCTCCTCCCCTTCATCCGCCATATTTTACAAATTTATAAATGGCAGTAAGGTCCCGGGAGCGACGGGCAGTGCCTCAATGCAAACTAAATAAACAAGTTGGGTAATTAGTTCTGAAGTAAGACTTGGAATTTGGACGTTAAACATTTAACAGGTTGTGTTTAGTGCTTCGTAAAAACAGTACGCCAAGCACCCATTTGTACTGATGGGGCATGCCGACAGTATGTACGAGCGGTGGACCAATTCGGGGTGCTTTTCCAATTTATTAATGTCACGTATATTCAAGTCACGTGACAAAACTAAAAAACACTTTGGCTAGCACCCATTTGTTCTGGTGGGGCTAGTGAATGGTTGGCAATCGTGCCAAGGTTGTGGGCCCAGTGATGCCAAGCATGGCAAGGAGGGGCCAGCGTGCCCCGTTTTATGGCAAGCGTGCCAAAATGTTTAGGCAAATAACTCTAAGTAAATCGAAAGATAATTTTACTTGTTCCGTTATAGTCTATCAAGGTATTCACTGCCATTTAATCAAGTTAAACATTGACCATGGAGAAATAAAATAGCGGCTAAAAAACTATGCATCTTTGGACAGAATGGATCAGTTCCAGTTATTCGATTTTTAGATGAGTGGAAGGACATGCTCTTTTACGACGTACATTGTTGTGTCAAATTTGAGCGCTTTTGAAGAATGTTTTTATTAGTCAAGATGTCTTCTTTTTGACTCGCCCTGTACTTTATTTTAAATGATCATGATTTGAATTCATATGAATCGTTTCTCGACACCAAATCTGGATTTTCCTTTGAAATGACATTATGGTGCTCAACGGTAAATAAGGCCAAAAAAAAGTCTCCGGTTTCTGGTATGCGCGCGCGTCGCCGTAGCCATGCGCGTCGGCAAAATGAAAAAGTTTTTTTTCAATGAAAGATGATGTCTCAAAACCGCCAAACTGACTGGTTTGACTGGAATCCTGCTGCTGCACAATTTTAACGTGTTTTTAGATTGGGTTATGGTCGAGAATAAGTTTTATGTGGCCTCTCTGGACTCCCATATATTTGCACTAGGTTTAGTCGGGCACCATTTGCAGTCATCAGCCGACATTTGAAGCAAAACAATCAGGTAAAAAAAAAAAAAAAGCCGCGTCGCCGCACCACTTTTTGGGCAAGCTCCATACCAGAAACCGGAGACTTTTTGGGGGGCCAAAGGAACCATTACTAAATTTGAGCTGAATATTCTTTGGGTGATCAGGTGCGCAATTTATCAAATGAGAAATATCCAAGCCCATGCACACTACAATATGTGTTTTCTTATTTTCGGAAAGAAGCTGTTGAAATACACTGGAATTAAGCACGTGTGAGTCTGCGGGTTCTGGATGCATGATTCTACTCATGTGGAAATCAGTAAACTTGTTTGTGGTGAACGAGAATCAAACAATTAATCATTGGGATTATTGCAAAACTCAGTGACTAGGATATACACAACAATGAATGTTTTATTCGAAAATGCATCTTTCTTGCCATTGTCATCGATAATTACTATTTCATACTGTACATGTCAAAGTTAGACCTCCCAGCCCCTGGTGAACAAACTAATTAACACATGTGATTCGTCAAAATCTTCATTACGATCAGTTTGGTTCGATTAATGTATCAATCCTTGGCCCAGATTAAAACCTAAAAGACCCCAACATCTATAAGTTAATAAAAAGGTGTTAACTTTGTTTCAAAAACTGTTTTGAAATTCATCAGAAATTCGTGTTGCACGCCTTTTACAGAGCAAGCAGATCAGTGCCCAATTTCATGGCTCTGTTAACCACAGATTGTCGTGCTTACGATCACCATTTTGTGCAAACCGCGCTAGCGGACAACTTCTGTGCTTAAACCCTGTAATCACAGACTCCTTAGTTACGGGATGTACGCATGCGCAGATGCCAACATTTCTCAGTAAACCGTGAAATACGCTTACGGAACTTTCTGCTACGGTAAGCAGGGATTTTTCGGCAATGGTAAGCAGAGCCATGAAATAGGGCCATTTTTGTACAGCGCCCTTATGAAATAACATTATGAACAAGGTCAAAGGCCATCCGTTCTATCTTCAGTTTGTATTCAGCTCGGCTTGCCCACAATCCGTCTCCCTTTTTTGTGTAGATAAGGGGATGTTAGACAGAGAGTCATATATGTCTGCTCATCCAGATGTCTCAATGACTACTTTTTATATAGAGATAGGGGCCTATATTTAGAAATATTTAGATACATTTAGATTTAATTATTATAAATTAGTTTCACCCCTATACGTCATTTGTCATTTTGTACAGTCCCACGCGACGGCCAATATCAGACTTAACTGGCCTGCCATTTTGAGTCTGTGTTCAGATTTATACCTGACCTATCATCTATTGTGAGACGTGAGTAACATCTGGTCAGGGGGCCAGACTAATGAGGGCACGTGTAGCGCACTAAGAAAAAAAAAGGATTAAAACGTACTAATAAAAAGGCCGCCGAGTTTGCTGACGAAATCTCTCCACCGTTTGCTCTGCATTATTTCCCTTATTCTCGCTGTTATTGGCATATCACTCCTGTTAACTCTTGAGGGAAATGTTGCGTGCACATTACACCCAGGCTCACATCGCTCGAGCGGTTTTTAGAAATGTTCAAAGGACCATTTCGAGGCGCATTACTGCACATTAAGTGCCAGATATTGTACAAAGCAACTGCCCCATGAAGGATCATCTTTAACAGAGCCATATGATTGCGAAGGGCGATTTCTAAAGGTTACGTAACACTTTATTTTGAATGAAACTACATTTCACGTTGGCGGGTGAAATCTTTGAAAACCAATTTCTCCCGTTTGGAAGACCGTATCTTCATGCAACATCAGGAATTATTTCCCCTATAATGATCCAAGTAATGTGCTAAAGTCGTTGTGATATGTTGATTACTTTTTTTGAAATTTTGAAAATTGTAACACTGGCGTGCGCAATATATATCAATCTTTTCAAGCCGAGGTTCCTATCCATTACGGTGTGTAGTAAACAATTGCATAAAAGCCTCCTTCACGAGTTGTTCATTAACAAATATCACCCTTTTTGCCGGCTTACATTGGTCGATACCGATACCCACGCCAAATCACGCCGAGTGACGCTAATGAATATGCTAATATGCCCTTAATCATTGTGTACCGGGCCGAAACAATGCACATGGGTTGGGTCGGCAAATAATTTTTTTCATTATCTTCGAAATTTTCCTTAGAGATGGTTCAAAGTGTAACACTAACGTCCGCAACAACAGATTCGGAGTATACTTAGATAATATAAGTGTTCAACTACTCGTGAAATAACAACTAGGGTAAATTCCTAGAAATTAGGATAAAACATACACTTGGGGAAGTTTTCGAACGATTTCTTCCAGATTTGCAGGACAGTAACCAGTATTGACGTTTCGGCATGGACGACGGCGATTTTTTTCACTGACATGAAGTTTAGGATTTCCTCTTCAGTTAAAATGTAACATTTCAATTATACCAAGCAAATTTTCTGAGAAACACAACGTTCAAAAGGCCATGTTTTGGGGGGATCACGAATTTCAATGCTCTGTTACAGCGTCTTAGTACGTAATCAGATTAGCTTTCCTGACAATGACCGACGCTAAGTAAACGCAATGCTTTCGCCATTGGGGGGGGGGGGCCGTTAACAGAAAAAGAATGCTATGATTGGTCTATATTTCGGATACTAATGCTTCGAGAATTGTCGCATGGACCTCAGTATAATAATATGGAGATAATTGAATATAAGATTTGGCCCTAAAATCGGCATGATGATGACAATAATTAATTCAAAAGTTTACTCTAGAAACAAGCAAGAAGTCCTGTCAATTATTATTTGATTGACCATCTCCCACTGTTTGCTGTTTTCAATCACATGTTCAGTCAATCTCATGTTTCTTAATGTCTACCTAAGGCCCCCCAAAAAAGTCTCCGGTTACTGGTATGCGCGCGCGTCGCCGTAGCCATGCGCGTTGGCAAAATGAAAGAAAAAAAATTCAATGAAATATGATGTCTCAAAACCGCCAAACTGACTGGTTTGAATGAAATCCTGCTGCTGCACAATTTTAACGTGTTTTTAGATCGGTTATGGTCGAGAATAAGCTTTATGTGGCCTCTCTGGACTTCCATATATTTGCACTAAGTTTAGTCGGGCACCATTTGCAGTCATCAGCCCACATTTGAAGCAAAACAATCAGGTAAAAAAAAAAAAAGCCGCGTCGCCGCACCACTTTTTGGGCAAGCTCCATACCAGAAACCGGAGACTTTTTTTTTGGCCTCATCCCAAAAGTATCAACATATTACCCCGGTAATTCATAGCCGCCAGCAATTCAAAGCATATTTAGCGTGATTCTTTTCAAGCTCACGAAGTGTACATGTGCTGATGAAAGAGTTAAAATTCGCCGACGAAATTTTTGAACCTCGTAACCCTATAAGCTGTTCAAAGCGGACGATCATGGGCACTATCTGTTCATGGTGGCACAATATCGCCCACGTTCACACATCCCACAAACTTGAGGTCACTGTTAGTAAAGGGCGCCCCTACTGGTTACGCCACTGAACTGACTTGACGGTTTGCTTTTACAAGTAGCGCCCTCTGTTGACCACCAATCTCGGTCATTGCAAGAAGTTCGCTGGTACGATATCCCATTAGTCCGAGGATGACATTCACGTGTGCAGGCCACCGTGACGGTCGAACGTCTGATATGTCTAACACCGCGCGCCAGCCAATCAGAGTTGACTTTACAAATTATGATGTCATTTCGATCAAAAATGTTGACCTAGCTGATGATTGGTCTATTTAGATGCCATGTTTTTGGAACACACCAACGGGTTACCAAAGACCCGATATAAAAGGCACCCGCTCAATTAATGGTCAGAAACTCGAGGTCAAGACGCAGTCTTGTTTGCACAATTAATCGCCGAATCTGCTCGCATATCATAGACCCTTGCTGTGTAAAGGGATTATTCCATAGACTATACTCCGATCAGCACACACTCCTGTGAAATTTGGAGGGGCGCCACAAAACGCTTATGATAGCAACAATATACATTGTGAAGAAATATGAGATTCATGACTCTCTGGCCTCGTAATAATGACACGAAGGCAGACCGTCTCGAGATAGTTTTCATCAAACTGTTTCTGCCGCATCCGGCCTTTTGTGAATGTGGGTCAGTTTGTCGCTCTCTGCGGCCTCAGCAGCAGCAGCCGGGCTCGGCTTCTTCATAATCTTCTCGATGGCTGCATTCAGCGCCTCCAGCTTAATTGGGCACTTGAGTTCCGAGATCCTTCGCCACTGGTCATTGCTTTCATCGGCAGCAGCCGCGGCAGTGGGGTCAGCCGTCCGCGGGCCCAGCAGCTCCTGGGACGGCCTGCTGGCCTGGCTGGCATCCTCGTCCACTTCCCTTATCTCGTCGAAAGTGACCGGCTGCGTGCGGTAGCGGGCGTCGGCTCGAGGCCGGCGGGCGTGGCGGGACCGCGGCAGGGGCTGCGGCCACTCCGTGGTCAAGTGGAATTTGCCCAGCGGTTCGCCGTATGGGGACTTCGGTCGAAGGTCATTGAGCAGGTCCTCGTCACTGTCGGCCATGGGTTCCATGGCGGTAGCCATCCTCAACCAATTAAATCAACCAGCCACGGCCAGTGAAAACTGAAGTAGAGGAAGAAAAGCTGAGTCTGAGCTGAGTCTTTGTTCAAAACATCGCGTTGCCTACTGAAGGTTTAGCAGTTTTGTTCTGCAAGTAAGCACATAGAAAAACAAAGAATTATTAAGTTGTGAATAACTGAAGTACACTTGATAAAGTCCTTGTGGCCAATCCACAGTCAGACGCATAGACCTGTCACGACATAGTATACCGCCCTCTAGTGTCACTCGGTACCACAACCGCTTGTAAGACTAATAAGAAATATAACTTGGCTATTAAAATTATCTCCTCACTTCCCCAAGTTTAGTGTTATAGAAACGGGGACATTGTTTCAAGTGACAGCTGTGTTGTTCCAGAATCAATTCAATTCAATTCTGTTCGAGTCCTGTCAATCTGCCCTCTCAAAGTTGAGTTAATCGGAAAAAAATCGGCAGAGGGCTAGGGCCTGCGTTGCTTCGGTGTTGCACACAGCTTTAACCACTTGTTTCAATAATGTGCCCAAGAACAGACGTTTCCAAAATGTAGGCATAGGCATACGTATCATGTTAATATATACATTTTACGAGTCGCTAATTGCGCTCTCTGAGGCCATGATATTTTTTAAGGGGGGGGGGGAGGGGAGGGTGCTGGATAGATTCTAACCAATTGTTAAGCATCTAAACTTACACGTAAAATATTAGAGTCACTATCTTAGCAAATAAGGCGCAGGCCTGAGTTTTACAAGTGGGGGCTGCCTTTTTCAACATCAAAGATTTAAGCATCTAAACTTTCGCAACTGTTTCTATTTTGCGCGCCATGTCATGATATCTGTCTGAGTTCACTTTTTTACAGACCAGTAACGTTCGAGTGAACAGCTTGTGCACTAATGAGAAAAGCTTGCAAGTCATTTCCAGCAATGACGTGCGAACACTACACGGCGCGAACGGATTCAACACTGGGTGTTGACACTGCGCTGATCATGACAGAGCGAACTTTGGTATATCCTTTTAAAAAACCCAAACCCTCGGGGGGAAAAACACACTGACGAAGAACTTTGGTGCTACACGAGGATTCTAATGACTTGTTGAATTCAGACGAGGCTTCCGTCTCTAGATTATTTGGTCCACGTGTGTGGAAAATTGGTCTCCAAGGGGAGAACGGGGTTGTCTACTGATTGATGGCGGTCTCATCAAGACATCATCATCTCTCTTCTTCTCATCAACACCTCCAGGGGGGAAATTGCTAAACATCCCGAGGGCTGATTGCGATCATCCCGCTCGGTGCTTATGGCACATGGACCAAAAAAGAATTTACAAAGACAGATAAAAAAGAACTGACGACAGCAGTTCGGATCATATACTTAAACATGCATAAATCACAAACGGCTTACAGTGTGCATTAATTTGTCAAGGCTTTGTGACCGCCTTTGTTGGCCGTGTTCACGGGCATAAAGTCTTCAAATTTGGCTCTCCTGCGGCGCCGTCAAAACAAGAGTTCAGTGAAGACGATTGAATACTTCATTATTTCAGGCAAATGATCCGCATTGGAAAGAACCTTGGGCATCCAGCGGCCATTTTAGAAGTGTTTCTTGGTGTGTGTGTTTTTATTGTACACGTGCATATTCCTTGCAACAAAAGCTTGCTAAAAGATATTTTCAATGCTTCTTCACATATTTGTAGGGAACATTTAATGCACTTGACATAATGTTTGAAAAACTCATTCTATAGATGGGGCAAAGGTTAAGTAATTCGTTGGCCAAAAAGAAGGTATCTACAACAAATCCCATGTCAACAACATTGTCGAGAAGTTTGGCATGAATAGTTCGCTGTGTACGGTTTGTTTGTTTGTTTGTTTTTGGAGGGGGGCAGGGGGAGGAATTGGACATAAGTTGTAGCATGAAACCTCTATTTCATATTCTTGACCACACAACACACACTCGTCACGCAGTTAATACCCGAGGGCATGCAAATCGTGATTTGGTCGGCGGAGGCAATTTCGGGCCTATTTACTGGCATGCAACCATAAGAAGCGCACATATGGGTATAAGAAGGCCAGATTGAGCATGCCTGTTGTGCAAGATTGCAGACTTTTGAGTACACCCATCCCTCCCCGATTACACTAAAGTAATGGAGAAGGCAGAGTTGCTGGGGGGGGGGGGGGGGGGCGGAAGATGCCGGACATACGTCGAAACAGGCACACAAAAAATCACCAATACACGATTATATTTAGGACACATTTAGATAGATTGCTCATATTTTGGTAATATTTGTAGACAGGCCCGTCGCCAAAGGGGGGGGGGGGGGGGGGGCTGGTGGGGCTGGGCCCCCCTTGGCGAGCAATTGCCCCCCCCCCAACCGGCAAAAGCCATAGATGTGTATTTTTGTATTTTTATGGTAGTGGGCCCCCTAGTTGGTACTATGCCCCCCCCCCCCCCCCCGACGCTCAGGGCTGGCGACGGGCCTGTTTGTAGATAATCAATCAAACTAAGACACGCAATAGTCCCACATGTTGAAAAGTGAAATCACCATACATGCTTGTTATTGTGGTACTCAATCAGAACATATGCGGCAGATAACCTCCCTGTGTCTCCTTTTGAGTCCAAGGTTGAAATGAATTAGGCCTAGACCCTGAAAACGAGGTTGATTGATTACCATTTGATATGATTATTGATTATTGACAGCACATTGAAGCTGGCAGTGAATCTCAACATTGCAACTACCTCACACTATTAAAACAATACTGGATAAGGAACAGACAAGTTCAAACATGCAAATAATTATAAACATTATTACACAGTGAATTCCTGAACACAACAATATTCCAAATTCTGTTCTGATCTACTCGTGAAACCATTCGAGCTAAAAATAAATCACAAGAACAATGTCTCTTGGTCAAATGAAAAATATAGGAATAACAGCTGCTGTAATGTCCAAACCATTCAAGTTTGCAGTGCCTGGAAATTGAGGGGGGGGGGGAGAGACACCCACCAAACAGCTGGCTGTTTTCAGCGTGGATTGCCATGTCTATACCTTCCAGCACATTCTCGCCAAGTTCACACGGATTAAGGCATCTTCTTGATACAATCAATGGAATTGATTCAATAAATAATCCTCGCCTGACCTCGTGTTACAGTTTCACCGTTTGTTGCCGGCATGGCCCGTGATCTGATTAATATTTTTTTTATTGGCAGAGATTTGTAGAATACTATACAGGGCAAAATATCTGAATCCTGCGCCACATTCCGTAGTGTTGTCTCCGTTCGAGCCCACGGCGTATTATGTGGAACTGTCCGTTAAATATGATTATAATTGTAGACAAAATGAAAGCAATGTAGCAATGGGCTACAAAAATGGATCCTTTCTATTGGAATTGGACATCTGTATTTCAGATATACAGAACACATTATGCAGTTTTAGTTGTACCAAATACAATGCTCCTGTTTTGGTATACTTTGTCCTTATTTACCGAAATGCCATTTAGCTATATCTTTATGCAAACGTCGGCTAAAATGGTCTTTAATTTGAAATCAAAGAATTTAAAAAAAGTCTTTATAATATCAGTCAAGTTTTGGAAAAATATATTGCAATCACAAATCAACAGAACTCGTTCACGATAACAAGATGTTAAAGGTCCTCGCAAGTTATGGCTTGTATACATGCATAATGTTTAATTCACACAGAACTATCGTTCTATTTCAAAACAGCCGTCTGCAGGCAGCTTAGGCCTATCTCTGGTTCCAAAAAACAAACAAAAAAAAACAACTCCGCAATATCATCATGTTGAAAAAGGCCAACACTAAAATTATTTTGAAGTATTGTATGTCGTGGAATCATAAAAAGCATTTGCAGTCATAAAATGCAATAAAAATTATGCAAGTGCACTGATGAAATGTACAATAAAATCAGGCAACCACGGTAAGTCATGGGTTCACCAGCATTCTTTTAGGGTGGTATATCATCGAGTGCATCGTTTGCCTTACAGACTACGTGAAACTATATTCTGTATATCAACACATTGCAAGGAAAGCCCTAAGAAATAGTTAACTGAGCATAGTACGTTCCTCATGCAAGCATACACATGAACATGCTCCCATACAGATATACAGTATATTATATATAAAAAAAAACACCAACTGACACGCATACACCAAGTATACCAAACATTTCGATCACACACGTACAGAAACTATTAGAAATGAAACGCCGAGTTCCTCTCGACAGCTGACTCGACTGTAGCAGCTGCTTTGTCTATTTACCAAACTGGATTTATGAAAACGTGGCTTTGTTTATTCTGAAATAAATATCATAATGTGCTCGTGGCCTGTGACACGCGTGTACAAACATCGTCTTGCACGAGGTAAAACGGCACGTATGCTCTCGTACCAAGAATTTACACGACACCCTATATCCAGCAAGCTCCAAGATGTCACGACGGGAAAGATGCAGGCCGCATTGGGACGAAAGACAAGTGATATTGAAATGGTTCTATGTTAGGGGTCACGTATACATCTGCAGTGAAGGGCATGCCAACGTGAGGCGAGAGTCTGAGGGGCTTGTGTCGCCAATCCTTAGGACGTGTCTGGTTTCAAGATAGAGCCGTTCACACCGTGTAATTTGCGCCCAATCTGCATGTTCGAGCTCAACATGCCGTCTGACGATTTCAGTTGAAAGAAGTCGTCACATTATCAAGGAGTAAAAGATAAAGGCCCTATATTTGGACTAGAGCACGCAACACTTTGATTCTCTGACGTCCGTATAGCTCATTAATTCTCCACAAATAGGTTATATAGATCTCGTCAGACGTAACGATTTAATTAACGAGCTGACTCAATAAAAGATCTGTAATCGAGACCCGCATGCAACTAAAAGTCCGAACCAAAATAACCTCGTACAAACAGGAAACCGGGACACGATCAGAAAACTGAAAAGTATCAAAACGGCACAAAATATGAAAAAAATGCAAAATTTGGCCCTAGTTTGTAAATGCTGGTACTTTAAGACCACATGCCATGATACTTAGCCAGTATGTGCTCAAAGTTGGGTTGAAAGAAAGACTGGTTTCTGCTACTTTAAAAGGTGCACATTCGCCGGCTAGATTTAACATTTCATGTA